ATATTGCTGACTTTTGATTTCGCTATAAAAATTTAAAAACTCCCGAGAGCCTTTTTCAAGTAGATGCGTCCGTGCTTTTCGAAGTCGAATTCCTTGTGAAACGATAAAAGCAAGAAAGAACGACAACGAATGTTCGTAACATTTTGCTCAGATCATACAGTCCCCAAGTCCGGTAAAAGGATAAGAGGAACAAACGATAACCATGATAAGGGTCAAGCGAATGGGTGGGGGTTTCACGCACCCTCACATGCATGCGTACGTGCGTACCAAGCATCCAATCCACCTACCTACATATCTGCCTACCTATCTAGCAACCTCCATACCTATTTAACAGCAACCTAGCAACCGACCTTCACATCGCGCTCCGGTCCCTTTGCAAATCCTTGAGATCTGACAGGTTGAGCAGCAGAAATGCCCAGGCATCATGAAAGGCTGTGCCGCTCGGTTGCTCTTCGATACATGTTCTGTTGGTACTGCCTTGAGCCGTGGTGCAAAAGGTTCGCCGAAGCTTGAAAATGCCGCCAAGGAATCGATGAACAGTCCGCACTATGACCTCTCCAAGTATGAAGGATGTTACGACTACATGCAGCCGGCCGGCAGTCAGCTAGATAGCAGAATCGAAGTTAGAGAGTTTGTGGAATTGAGTGGCGAAGCCACAACTCCAACTGTCGAGGCCGCAATGCGGTATGTCCTCAGTGATGTTTAGACTTCTGTCTCAGTATTTGCGTTTGCCACCTTATTGCCACATGCATATTCCCAACTTGCTCTATGACGCCAGCAGCTTTTTGAAGCATCGGGCACTGCACGTTCAAAGCAACATGCGACGGTTCCATGCTGTCTCGAGTTGTCGAATGCGCTCTGAGGGTGGAGTTGACTCCTGGACTGTATGCCGGCTTGGGCGTAGCACGTGCCCTAGCTGTTTCTGACTAGAAGGACCACGCACGGGATTTCCACGCCGAACGTGGTGACATTTGACAATATGAGCTGAAGCCATTGCTTTGTCGCAGGGTGAGCTTTCACACGGAAAGCTGAACTTAGTTGGTGCTTGGTGCTGCCCGGATGGTGTGTTTTGTGTTGGGAAGAAGTTGAGCTGACGTGCCTCGTTTGCAGTGAGCGAGTCCATGTCAGCCTGAGCCTTTGCTTTGCCAGCATTGGCATTGTCGAGCGGTCGAGCTGTAAGCAATCTCCCAGTGCAGATCCGTAACATGTTGTCATGTTTGAAGTCGCACCGGGAAAGCTCAGCCTCGGCTGTGCGCGGAGCGTCAGCATGTAGCGAACTTTCGTCCTACGTGACAGCACGTGGCCCGTTCAAGTGTCCAGCGGCTCTTTGCAGTAAAGCTACGCCTCGCGTTTCTGCGGATACTATTGCAAAGCTGCTCTCTTGGGAAGTTGAACTCGCAGCTGTCTTACGCCCAGGTCCTTGGCTTCTCCTGCTGCGTCATGTCCTTGCAATGTGCCAGCTGCTACTGGGGTCGGGATCTTTATACGGAGCTGGACAGAGAGGCCGGCAAATCCGTTCTGTGCTTGAAGGCCATGGGAACAGGATTTCATGGTCGTTGTCCGCTAGTGGTCCTTGAAGCGGCGCTCTGGTAACTTCAGAGACTATAATGCTCTGCTTTTCTTGCCCAGGTCCAATATTTTGTCTATTGCATGTCGGAAAAAGACGGAAAGATAGAGGTTCATTTGTTTATCTGCCTGTTTCTCGCTGGTTTACGTATTTATCCATCCATCCGTAGCCGTCTGTCCGTCCATCTCTGTATCTGCCCTTGTCTGTGCAAGTCACCTGTCCGTGCAGCTGTCGATCTATCCCCCAATCTGCCTATCTACCGAATAACCCGTCCATCTAACTGTCAACGTATCAGTTTGGCATTCTCTATCTCAATTTGCTCAGCAATCTACTTGCGTAGCCTCACCCATTGTCGCCCGAACTTCTAACGCATCTGTTCTGCACTGTCGCTCTTAACGGCACATTCAGCCTGTCAGATAACGGCTTTCACTTTCACCGTGTGTCGCTTGCATTTCACCGTTTCTCTCCCTCTCTCCCTCTCTCTCTCTCTCTTTCTTTGTTCTCGCACCCTCTCCGCTCATACTCATGGCTGAATCTGCAATCACACCGTACCCTCCCTCCCTGCCTTCCCTCCGTCGGGCCGTCCGTCCGTCGGTCCGCCCGTCCGTGTGGATCAGTCCCTCTCTTTTGCCTCGCTTGCACTTTTTATGGTGAGAGGTGGAGAGGTCACTTAAAGAGTGACCGATCAGACTGTTTCATATTGGGCTTCAGATGCCTTCCTCGGTGGAAATGTGAAACTCACGGCGAGCTTTCGGCAGGACCTCTGCATTGGATCTGATTCTGATTATCCTTGAAGGCGCCGCATGAGTGCTTTCGGGCTTCTGATTCAGCTGCGGATCGCATCAGGAATCTTTGGCTTTCCTAAATTGGCGTTCAGAACTGGCTTTAACCATTATAGTGTCCTTAGAGTTGTGCTTCTAGTGATTCTAGTGCGCATGCACAGGCTCACAAAGCGCCGCCCGCTTATGCAACAGACCTGGCCTCGCCTGCCAGGAATGTAGGATTCAAGCATTCGCACCCGCTTGACCCGGCGCCAGCATCGGCAGTATAGGGCTGGATCAAGTTTCGGAGTCCCGGATATTTAAGGCTAAGGCCCTCTTTTGCCTGAGGCGGATTGGCTGTGGCGCGGTGTCTCGCGAACAAGATCTACGCACCTAGATGCCCTTGGCCTTGGCTCTGACGCCAGGCAGCCAGGGAAGGATGGTGTGGCAAGCTCTTTGAGAATCCTGTTTCGATATGCTGCAAAGTTGGCATCTCTTATAGTTTCAGAACAAGCTATTGGCGAGGCGAGCATCAACCGCGCATATGAGCTGAAAAGACTAGCGCTTCTGCAATTGCAGGTTTTGTGTGAAAAGTGGTCAACATGCCAACTAGTTGAAGGACTGCCAGTACGGCATGTAGACAGATGCTCGGTGGATTGAACTGCAGCCTGCGTGTTGTTTTCAATCAGGCAACATATTAGCCTAGTAGCACTTACAACCATACAAATTTGAGCATAGATAGATAGCACAACCATCCATCATGTGTCCAGCCTGATTTTGTGGAATTGTGCAGTGCTTTAAACATGACCTGTGATGTGGCACTGGGTTTTTACCGAGATGCGCCGTTACAAGCTCCCGAATCGAGGTCAACTGAGCTCACAGGGCAAAAACAGTCATTTTCTCAGAGCACATACTGCTGCACAGGAGATCGGATGCTCGAATGTGCTACATACCACAATTTCGCGGAGGTCATACGTCGACAGCAGCAGGGACGTGATTTGCCCCGAATCCGTGCAGTGCATGTCGCAAAACTTTGCACTGTCACCGTACATGCATATGTCACATACATACATATATGTGTACATTTGCACAAACATATATGTATAATTAGTATGCAGACACATGAATTTCCATCCAAGGGTCAGTAGGGCTAGTGTTAATGCTGTAAAAAGACCTCGATCTACAGGCAGCGCGCCACGGAAGCGTTCATTCCCAGCAGCGTACACGCAACTTTCATCTCGGTTTGGGCTCCCGCTTTGGGGATCTGGCTGGCGAAGTTCAGCCCTTTGCATCGTTGTTCCTTCGTTGGCATTGAGGATTTCTACGTGCTTCGATTTGATCAGAAATGTGCTCAGCCTGGAAGTCTTGTGCAAGTCCCTTCTAACTGCTTCACAGTAGTCTCTTTTAAGTCAGCCATGGAGCTAGCTTCCGCGCGGCGAGTGGCCAGGCACACGTGCTGCAACTTTGAACTTGCACATTGCAAGATAGACCTGTCATCCTGCATCAAATGGTAGGCTTCGCAAGCAACTTTTTTTGAGATAGCCTCAGCACCCGGCATGTTGAACGACTGCGCAGGCTTCTGGGACAATTGCGGCCAGCAGCGCTTACATGGGCCGGGTTTGTGCAGTGCTGTCTTTTGCCCGTGTGCACAGGTGTAGTGATGAAGTGTTATTGTTAGAACTTTGAGCCATGTGGTGCACCGATGAGATCACTGGCCTTGTCGGCTGATCCAAAGCTCCGGCTGTAAGGCGGTTGTCATGTAAGCTTTCCAAACCAGTTGCTGCGGCTGAATGGACATCGCATATTCACCAAGTGCGACAAGGTCTCACCTGTCGCAGCATCTGCCAAGCCGAGGCGGACTTTCGCCAGGTTGAAGGTAGAGTCCAGCAATCGAAAACCGGCACAACTCGGATCGTTGTTTTGTTTCAGTTCATCCCGATCAGTGCTTGCATTGCCGGGTTCCGGAGGTCAAACAGTTGTGCATCGACCCTTGGATGTTGTGCACTCTGGTGCGGTTGACCCTGCAGACGCTCTGTATCGCCAAGTGGCAGGAGTTTTGCTACGCAGCGGCGGCCGAACGGCCTTCAGCTTCCCTTCTCCAAGGTCGCTGCTGACGCGTGCAAACCGTTGTCGGATGATGTCGGATGGCCCTTGGTCCCTTGGTCCATCAGTGCTTTTGGTCTTGCGGTTGTGCAGGTGCTCATTGCAAATCGTGGCGAGATCGCCGTCCGGATTGCTCGGGTCTGCCGCTTGGTGCTGTCGTGCTTTCAGGGCTGACATTCGCTTCCCTTGCAACCAAGGCTTGCCAGGAGGAAGGTTTGACAACTGCCCGGAGCCCCAGATCCTTGTGTCATTTTCAGTCCTTCGAAGTCATCCAGAGTCTCACGTAAGAGCCTTAGCTCTGCCCCTGTCGGAAGTCTCAGGTGGGCATCTACGCCGAGGAAGACAACGGCTCCTTGCACGTGCAACGCGTGCAGGAAGCAATTCGGGTCCTTTCCCCAGAGTTTCGCCTTGGGCTGAAGAGGTGACCATTTCTGTATAGCTGTGCAGTAGTGTGGTATAGCCTTGCACGCCTATAGCCAAATATCACGGAGACAGGATGAAGGAAAGTCAACACCGAATTTTGTAGAGTCGTGCTGTACAAGATTGAGTACATAAGCCATTGCTCATGTTCCGTTCGTCCATAGAAATCTTTCTGGCCTCATACTCCCTGTCTTTGGAAATTCTTACTGCGACTGCTTCGTTCCCGGAGAGTTGCGCGCTCGTGTAAACTCTTGCATTTGTCTTGCCTGTGGTGCTCACAGTTTTCATGAATCCACCTTTCTACGGTGTCTGCCCACGACGTTCACAGCGCTTTCGATTCATTTGCTGATTGCATTTTCCCGACATTCGGAGCCACATACATTCGTTTGGCGACATCCGCTACTACATGGCTGCTTTCTCAACCAACATCTCTCTACATACCGTCACATCATGTCGCATCACTGCCACTTTAGACTGACTTTAGGTTTTTATTGATGGCCTTTGCTCGTTTTGTTTTTCGTGATTGGTCAGCAGAGAAGAAGCACCTCAACAGCACGGAGAAGATGCTAACAAGACTGCCCCACAAGGGAGTCTGGGTATGATAAGCATCTGAACAGACAAGGAACCTCGGAAGCAAACACTCCAAACTGGCAGGGCGTTCGTAGGGACAGTAACCTGCTTGGCCAAGCACCAGCATCCTGATACGCAGGAGCCTCGAAAATCTGTTTTGCTTTGCAGAGTCATGTGAAAGGAAGCTGCAACAGCGCTTTTGCGGCGGGGTAGACCACTAGCACTTCCAAATCCGGACGCGGACCGATGGTTCTCAACCAGCAGGCACCTCGGGTAAGCAGTCGTCACTGAAAAGGTCTGGATGTGAAGGTAGTGTCAGCACTCCGGGCGAGAGGAGCACGCACACTAGAGCAGCATTCGGGCCGCACGAGCATCGGGTCCGCCGCTGCACGAAGCCTTTTGCCTGTACAGTGTTGAGAGTGTGTTGAGTCTTGCGACCGGCAGTCAATGTTGGAACAACTTACCTGTGCATGCACAAGGGCCATTCTGATTCCCTTTCTCTTTACCGTAACTCTGCGAGCCAACCATTGCCCAGTTCACGTTGGAGAGATTACCGCCGATCTCGGACAGTTCACGAGGGTGGTTTCGGAGGCTCAGTAGTTTTGCTGTATGTACAAATGTGCAAGTATTGACGCCTGTCTTTTTCTTTTGTAGTGGGTGAGCAGTTTTTAGTTATGCCGCGGACTCACCATGTCACGTTGTCTAGGTTTTTCAAGAGAAAACTGCACGCAAGGGTCCAGTGAAGACTGGGCGAGCCTCCGCCCTGGAACCGGGAACCGAAACTGAACGGTTGAGCAGCACTCGAACGCCTGGCTTTGTGGAGCCCAGGTCACCTCCAAGAACCCTGGCCCGATCGCGCCATACCTGGACGTGCAGAGTGTAGTTGAGGCGGCCAAGCCCCGACCTCAGGTTTCCCGAAGCTCGCTTCGGTGCAGCTTTCACCAACACTCCTCAGCCCATGATACATGTACCCTACAAGCTCCCACAACCAGAAAAGTGCCAAGCATGGGCCCACCTCATGCAAGAGCTGACCGAAATTGCAGCTCCCGAGCCCAGCAGGCCCTGAAACGATTCAACATTTGTTTCCTTGTCTAGAACGTTAAATGCTCAGACCCAAAGGCAGACAGGTGCCCAAGCGGTGCATCCTGGCTACGGCTTCCTCAGTGAGAGTGCAGAGTTCGCTGCAGCCTGTGAGGCGCATCGCATTGAGCCTGTAGAGCCTGCAGAGCTTTTGAAAGCCTCTTGGGCAAGTGCAGTTGCTCAGCCCGTCGAATTCAGGCCGCAGGCATCGTATTCATCGGTCCCCGTCCAGAGACCATCGCACTCCTCGGGGACAAGGCCGGACGGCAGCAAGCTTGGAAGGCGGACTGCTGCAAACTGCCGGCAACGACGATCTTCAACCCATCTCAAGACGCTCCGCTGTCAAGAAGGTGAGGGTCGGAAGGTTCGGTTCGCGGCGCAGGTCCGGGCCCGGGAGCTGGCAATGTCCAGCAACGTTCCGGCCGGCGGCCCAGTGATTTTGGAGGTCTGGGCTTGTTGGCCCTTTGGCATTGAATCCTGCGTCCTGCCACAATGCAGCCTTGCCCCAGGTTTTAAAGGGCTCGCCGTTCCTCGACTCCTCGCAGCATGCACGAGACTTCTTGGCAAGCCGGCATCTTAGAGGGTTTTGCATGTGCTTGACTTGTGGACCACAAACTATCTGCATGTCGGGAACTGCAAAGCTCAAAACCTGTCCAAAGCCTCCCTAAGCCTTCTCGTTGGCAGGGTCACCCACCTGAGAACCCGATGTGATGGTTGTTCACAGATGAAGGACAGCACTTTCCCCATCTTCCAATAGCCTCCTGGACCGCCTCCGGGGCTGCTCTTGCCGTCGCAGCGTTGGCCTACTAGCATGCATCTAGGCCTGGCGTTCTTCAGTTCGCAGTATCGGCCATCTGCTGCTGAGAATCGGCAGGGCAAACGCAAAGCCTATCAGGTTCTTGCAATTCGGAAGAATTCATGTGCATCAGGTGAAGGGCTTCCACTGCCGATCATCTTCAAGGCGGCCTTCGGTGGTGGTGGCCGCGGCATGCGCCACGCGGCAAAAGTTCGCCTTCTGTTCGGGGTTAGAGGGTGTGGGGCGGTCGGGAAGGATGAAGGATGGTGCGCAGGGCTGTGACCGAGTGTTGCTTGAAGCCTCAGCGTCCGCCGGCATGCCGAGACGTTGAGCCTGCAGCAGAGTTGACGGCAGGACAAGTGATAGGCGAGAGCGGATGTAAAGCTGAAGCAAATGCATATCGCAACAGCGCAAGAAGCATCGGACAGCCTAGCAGAGGTAAAGGAAATGCAGCACAGCGCATATGCAAACGGTGAAAGCAATTGCTGAGGGCTCGTTCGCCAAGATGGTGAGCTCAACGAGGCATTTGAGCACGAAGCTCAGCTTTCGCAGTTCGAGGGTTGGTAGAGGCCCTTCGTCCGTTCTGCTACCCCTTTTTTAGACTGTGGGCCCTACAACCTAATGATCGGGCCTCGGTCCAAATCTGACAGAGAGCTCGTAAGGCTTGTCGCGGACCGCAACACGCAAGCAAGACTCCCAAACTGAGTTAGTGGAACATTTGGCCGTTTTGGGTGATAGTACCACTAGCCTACCACTAACCCACCCGTGAGAAGATTATTCCAATACCCTACATCTCACCAACTAAATCACCACGACTCCTCCCATTACCAATACCAGTATAGGAACAACAGTATTCCTCCAAGTATCTTCGCCAAGCTTCGCGCCGTCCAAGACGAGTCTTAGCCCGATGAATTCAAGAAACCATGCAAGTCGGGTTTAACCTCAACCACTTTGGGTGAGGGCCTGCCCTACCTTTAGACAGGGCTTCGGTGCAGCCGAAGCTAACACCTCAAACCCCTGTTGGGCGAGGGGAGGCCCTACCACTGTACGTGGGAGGCTCACCGAAAGGGGACCTCTGGTGGGTGAGGGGGTGTAAAACCGACAGGAGGAGGTGGGACATGATGCTTTTGGCATCCCCTACTCTTAAGCGCGGCCCTGGCTCCGAGAGCCTCAAAAGGGTGACGCACCTCAACCACGAAGGTGAGGAACTTCCTCCAAGTATCACTACTACTTCCNNACTTCCCCATTACCAAGACCAGTATAGGAATAGCCAGTTACCTCATCCATATTTTTCTGGGGTGGTGTTATCATCCCAGAGCGGGCAAAGGTTCCCTCATAGATTTTACTAGATTTAGGGTTAAAGGTTTCAGTCTTGTAGAGCTGTGCACGCGTCGCCCAAGAACAAGCTGGAGAAGCCAGGTGAGAAGAAAAGTGTAGTCTTCCTTTTATTCTTTATGAGGCATTGCACTACGAGTGTATTATGATTACAACCTTTGAAACTACACCTAGTACTGAGGGAGCCTTTGCCCACTTTGGGATGACAATACCACCTTGGGGAATATGGATGAGGTAACTGGCTATTCCTATACTGGTCTTGGTAATGGGGAAGTAGTAGTGATACTTGGAGGAATACTGGTAGGGAGTATAGGAAGAAGCTTCTAATGTGGATGAAGTATCGCTTGTTCCTATACTGGTACAGGTAATGGGGGGAGTCGTGGTGATTTAGTTGGTGAGATCTAGGGGGGGGGAGTATAGGAATAATATGGAATAATCTTCTAATGGGTGGGTCAGTGGTAGGCTGGTGGTATTACCACCCAAAGCGGGCAAATGTTCCGCAAACTAACTATGCAGTTGTTTCCCCCAGGCGCTGCACCAGTGAGGCCAAGACCGCCTTCGGCAACGGCTCTGCCGCTTGGCACAGCAAGAGCACGACTTTCCGGGATGGAAAGGACTTTCGAACCTGGGGCTTTCCCTGGCTTCTGCCCCGCGGCCAAAGGTAACTTGTCCTGAGTGCATCCGGAGCGCGAACGTGCGGTAGGTGCAGCACACATCATGTGAACGTCGGTCGCAGGTCTTTCTGGAGGAATTTCTTGATGATGCTCGTCACATCGAGGTTGAGTTGCCCTTGGGGAGTGGAAGCTTCTGGGTTGATGCCCTGGCAAAGAGGGTTTGTTCGAGAATGGCGTGGGTCTCATGCAGTTCGAAGAGCAAACAGGTGAGCAAGCAGGTTGTTGGAGTGGTCCTGTTTGTTGGCCTTTGCTCTTGCTCAGGTCTGACATGTTATGCCTCCGGAGCTTGTAGCAAACATCCCTGTGCTGAATCCCAACAGCTAGGTAGGTATTGCGGACACAGGCAACAGGAGGCAAGCAGCACAGCCTGCAATCATGTATAAACTTTACAGTTATACAGTTATACATATACCTCCACACATGAGTGTATGTAGGTTGGTACAACCGGCTTTACGTCAACACAACCGCACAGATGCATAGGTGGATACAGTTGCTTATTTGGGCCGCTTTAGCTTACTTACCAAATTGGAAACGCGTGGGCCGTCACTGAGTCTCGCGCAGGTTCAAGTTCTCGCAGACGGCCAGGGAGGTTGCGCACACCTTTACGAGCGCGACTGCAGCGTGCAGCTGCGAAACCAGAAGGCACCGGGGCGGGGGCAGATGACAGGCTAGTCCACGGTCTATGTCCAAGGGGTTCTGTTTGGAACAGGCTCGATTCATGTGGCTTATCTTTGCGCTGGATATCGCTGGATGCTGACGAAAGACGAGTATGTTTTCCGCTAGGAGCAGCACACGTGTGCAATAATTACATAAACACAAAAATAGCGCGATTGACAGGCAGTCAGGCAACTTTGCCTGTCGGCAGTTGGCACTGGGGCTCGAGCAATCCCGTTCCACAGGTCGTAACCGCAGCACCAACTTCAGCTGTTAACCTCTCGTGCTCTCCAGCTGGTTAAGTTGCAAAGTCCACGAGAAACCATCTGCAGAAGGTGGTGGAAGTTGCGCCGGCCCGCATCCATCCCGGGCGTGATGCTCAGGACTGTAGCTAGGCTTGCTGAATCACGCACGAATCTCTTTCGTTTCTTGGCATTCGAGTTGCGCACCCACGAAACTCTATTGTTGCAGTATCGTTCGTTTCTTGGCCTTCGAGTTGCATGCACACGAAACTCTGTTGTTACAGTATTGATTGTTGCTCGGCATTCGAGTGTCGCACACACGAAACTTTGTTGTTGCAGGATTGTTCGTTTCTCGGCATTCGAGTTGTGCACGCGCGAAACTCTATTGTTTGCTTCAGTTGGCCTGACCTGTTGATTGCTCACCGGTAGACTTCACCAAGTTAGGTCTGTCGGACTTTCCTTCTGTCTCTGCTTCTCTCTCGCTCTGTTTTCTTTCTCTCCGCGCCTGTCTATCTCTCTCTCAATCTCTGTCTCTCGTCCCTTTCTCTCTGTCTGCCTGCGTTCTCTTTCGACTCATTGTTTGTGTTGTGTCTGTCTATTTGCTTGTTTGTAAGATGGTGGTCTGGTATGCATGCAGGTCAATACTCGTATGAAACTTGTATCAGGTGTTTATCTGCGTGCATCCGTTCATGTAGCAAGTCGGTAGGTGGATTAGTGGATTGGTAGGTGAATAAGCACTGTAGGCAAGCAAGCAAGTAGGCAAGTAAGCAGGTAGGCAAGAAAGCAAGTAGCAAGCAAACAAGTAGGTGAGTAATCAACAAGCGAGTAAACAACTAAGTGACGGAGGAGTTGAGTAGGTGGGTAGGTTCTGTAGCTGGGCATGTAAGTAAGTAAGCACACGAGGGCGTAAATGTGTCAGGAAGTGGTTTTAAGTACACGCAACGAGCCAATGAGCAAAGGAGACAAACAAAAGCAAGCAAGTGCCTAAATGTGTCAGTGCTGTATGCTGGTATGTATGCATGTATGCGGCCTTCATGTATGCGTGTATTGCATGAGTCCTGACATTGTCTAGTATCGAACTATCTGTTTACGCTTACCTCTACGATGTTTCTTCGGATGCATGTAGCCCGCGTGCATTTGTCTCTGACGTGCTGCAAGTTTTCGTTTCGCTGCTTGTATTGGGCTGGGTTTTCGTTCCACATGCTAGGGAATTTTCTCTCCCAGCTCGAATTTACCACCGGAAAAACGATCCAGGGCATCCAGCGTGGCGGGCATGGGAATTCGGGCTCAGCACCATTTTCCACGAGAAGGGATTGCAACACCGACCCAGCGTGCACTTTGGTTTGCCGGTCCCTGCTGTCGAAGGTTTAGCCGTCAGGAACGACATCAGGTCACACGCAGAGCATATATATATATATATGTATATATGTATATATGTATCTTCATTACATGTCTATTCTATAAACACACATGTATATGTATGTGTGTATATATGTGTATATGTATATGTATATATATATATATATATGTATATATATATATATAGGTATGCATATATACTTATAATATGTATATGTATATGTATGTGTATGTGTATGTGTATATGTATGTGTGTGTATGTACATATATATATATATATCTATCTACCGGTCTTTCCAGACGGAAGGGCTTTTCAGACGTGCCGTTGGGCTTCCCTTCAGTCCAGCGAAGCCGTCAGTAATCACCCTTGAACCTCCAAAGGTTGAGAGCTCGCATCACCGACTGCGCTGTTCGCCTTCTTCTGAACTGCAACTATCGGGGCGTCACGGCCCCAGGGAATTCTGGATGTCTGGATGCTAGGGATTGTGGGCAAACTTGTGGAAAGAAGCTTGGCTTCAGTTGGGAACGGTCGTGAACACCAGACTGCGAGGTTCGTGTACACAAGTCGGAAGCGAGCTCGAGCATAAAGTTTACTAGTGGGACGGGGTGCGTAGGCAGAAACTGAAAGCCTGTGCACTGAAGACTGTGTGGGATGTGGCACAAGAGGTTGCTGAGCATGTGTTGACTGGCTTGACGCTGTGGACCCGCGGCGACATCACGCATTGTGCATGAAGGGGCGCCTGAGGTTGGCACTGTTGAGTTCATGGTTGCCGGGGGGCTCGACGATCCTGAAGCCCGTTTTGTGTTCATGGAGGCTGGGCGGGTTCGAGAAACAGTCGTGGTTAACTTGAGATTCTGTCGTGTGTTGCATGTGTAATGTCGGGGCCAGAGCCACGTGTGATGGCTGAGGAGGCCATCCGTTCGAGGTTCTTTCTCTCCAGTGGAAACGGAAGGGTCAAGTACCCGTAGGCTCAAAGTGAGCAACCCGTTCCGCATGGCATGTCTTCAGTCTCGACATATGAATTATGCCAGGTTAATCCACGAATCCAGGTCGAGCACACCATCACCGAAGAGGTGCCCAGCCCAAGCATTGATTCCAAAAACTCGTAGTTCGCTTGCTGTCTCATCCACTTCAACTTCGTTGCTGGGCAGGCAGAAACCGGTGCTGCATCTTGGAATGGTGTAGGGCGTAGTGCAGACGGCCGACAAGTCTGAGGCTACCGATGTGGACATCGTGAAGACACAGCTTGGCATTGCGAGTCCTACCCTCGTGTGCTTGTCATGGTTGGAGGCTTAGGATTTTAGGTTTTTCACGATTTGGCTTTCATGTTGGGGATTTCCGGGCAGAACACAGCAGTGAGCAAGCCAATATCAACATCGTCTGCATCTGGCCGTCGCTTTCTGCACTAGCTTCACTCGCGCAATTTTTTCATTGCATCTCGTCGCATCTGCAGGCTGCTGTAGCGTGGGCAGCCGCACAACATTTGCATAATTGGTTACAGTAGTTCGGAAACGCTTTCTTTTGTGAAAGCCTGAAGCGGTGTTCGCCACTAGCACCACCTTTGGACCTCGCAGGTGGCAAGAAGCTTGACGAGCTGGGACTTCCGGGAGGCACGCTATCTTGCAGTGCTTGTTGCAAACCTTGGCTGTTCGCGATATGACTTCGGAGTGTGGCAGTACAAATGGTCTGCCCTGTATTTTTCGTTTGAATTTCGGAGCATGCTTTCAATTCTGCAGCGTTCAGTGCTTGTTGTTCCGCACAGTATGTGCCCATACGCCTGCGACCACATCTTTGGTTCTGACTGGTGCGATGCCCGGGATGGGCGAGGCTTAAAGCAGGAGGGCGCAGGTCATGGTCTTCGGATTGGTGAATGGCTTGATGAGGGTCTACAATTGTGCAATCGCATGCCGCACGACTGGTGCGTTCGTGCTCTAGGAATAGATGCTCTGATAGCATGGACATTAGTATGTCGGAGTGCAGGCCTTTCCGGACCCCTCGACAAGCAAAATCAAAAAGAGACAACGAAACCAAGCTGCTGCAACAACGACAGGGTCAGGAGACGAGCGCCAGCTTTTGACATAAAGGTCACCAAACAAGCAACAGCATGCATCGACCTGTGTACGCATATGTGGCCTGGCATGGCATGGCATAGTATGGTATGGTGTTTAGGTACGTATGCAAGTATGTATGCCTATTGTTGTATGCATGGCACATAGTCGCTGTCCGGCTCTGTGCTCAGTGTTGTTCGTTCATTGTAAACATGCGGTTGTAGCATTTTCCTTGGGTTTGCCTCGTCAGCGTGGCAGACTCCCCCTACCAACAGCTTGGCCCAACATTCCGACATTGCAGGTCCCGGGCATGCAGCTTCGACATTGCGCGGCTTTGCCATCCAGGTGAACGCTTAACCGGAACTTTCGGGTGCACAAGCTTGGAAGCAGAGGGAGAGCATCAATACTCGAATAGCATTGTGGGCTTTACATATGACTCTTTCTTGGCAGGCCCGGGTCTCCCTGGCCCCCGGAGGCGCGCAGAGCTCGACTTGCTGTTGACGCAGGGCCTGCAACAAAACAACGCGAGAGCTAGTCCGAACGCCCTCTAGCTCCAGGTGGCAGCGAAGTGTCGGCCTACAGCGAGCCGAGTGGTGAGGGCGTTCGTGTGGATGCGGCCCTTTATGCTGGGGGAAAGCCGAGCATGCACTACGCCACGCCGGCCCCGTCTTCAACTGGACGTTGTTGAGACATGACACTTTCATGAAGTTCATTCCGAGAAGTGGAGTCGGTGTCGGAATGAATCGAAGAGACTTCTTGAATTCGCTCACCGCTCACCCTCGCAGCACCTGCGATGTAGCCAGGCTCTGCACCAAAACCCAACAACACTGCAATGCTGATTTGCATCACATGTGCCAGGACCCGTTGGTTGGCAAGCTGATCTGCTATGCCCCTGGTGAAGGCCGACAGCACTGAGGGCTTCCGGCAACTTGTGCTTTAATTGCACGTCTTGAGCTTGAACTGTGCAGCAACCGCAAGTTCTTTCACTGGTGCAGTCGGCTCGGCCCTGCTGCGGATTGCAAGATTCGTCTGTAGATGCAAAGAGGCTGCGTGTTCTTCATAGAGACCGAGTTTGCAGCACCAACTTCTTGTCCTGAGCCCCAAACCCCAAAGTTTTCATTGAAGGCCCGAAATGTTCATCTTGAGTTTGGCAGGTGACGAGGCCTTCCAGGCCTGCCGGGAGCGGACTATTTCAGCTTTGGACTCCTACGTCATCGACGGGGCTTCCGGACTGCAGTGAAGTGAGGAAACCTGTGGCACGGGAAAATTTCGTATTTTGTTGGGTTAGAGAAAGACCAGCCGCTTGGCGGTGTTTATACGCACATGGTGATATTTGCCGCATTGCAGAAGATGAGATAAGATGAGGTTTCGTGCTTGCAAATTTTGGAATGCAGGGCGAGCATTTCATGTCGTCTGCTTCTGTAAGAAGCCACTTTTTCGTGACATCTCCATGCTTGAGGTTAACACCAACAAGCCTGTGTTGCGCGGAATCCTGCGGCATCCCGAATTCATCAAAAACGAGGCCTGCAGGGGTCTGATCCGATTGGAGGTTTGAGATTTGCAGAGCCGTGCGCCGTGTGGGAGGTGCTCCTCTCCTTCATGGCCCGCCATGGCCCAACCCTCGCCGGCAGCGCCGATGCCGCTACGAGCAGCAGCGGCCCGGCCAATGCAGGTTTTACGCCTTGTGGGGTGGAGGGCATCGGATTCAACTCTCCATGAGCAGGTGCTATTTCGAGTAGGAGTAGTCTGCACGCTTCTTCTTGCGGCTTGAAGCAGCCAGCGCCACGGAGAAGGCACTTATTGCCAGCACCGCTGGCTTGAGGCTGGCACAGGGAGGCAGCAACTTCAGAGAATCCGTGTACATACTGTTGTATTAGGTCTTGTGCCGGGACTTCTCAGCGACTCCAGACCTATCCTTGGTCTGTTTAGTATTTAAGGTAATTTTTTCACCAGCAGAATAACCTCCCCTGCCCTGGACTGCTCTGCCCAAGGCCAGGCATCGAAACCCGTCGGGCACTCAACAGCAGTAGATTCATCTGTGAAAGCAGGAGAGGTCTAGCCCCAGCTGGCGATGTTCAAACAGCCCCACTTATGAGATGGAGGTGTCGCTGAAGCGCCAGGAGCTGTCGGTCTCATCGCCGCTGGAGGCTCTTAGAATTCGCCACGCCACGAAACACATGGAGCTGCTGGCGGGGCTCTGGCCGCCTCTGGCCAGGCGACTGTGGTGCAGAGCTGCGTCCAAGAGGGGCAGGAGGCCGCACTGTTCTGCGGTACCAGTATGTCGCAGTCACGAGTGCACAGCTCTGGTGCAAGGTGGAGGAGGGACAGCTGCTGGTCTTGCTCTCTGCCATGAAGCTGGAAACCGAGGCATTCAGGATTTGCCTTCGCAGCAAGGTATAGCTACTCCGCTAGGCCAAACAGCGCTGAGCCTGCGGTGCAAACGGCCGAGATTAATAAGGACTCTCCCACAAACGTGCCAAGCATAACTACAGCCTACTGTTCGTGGCATTAGGCCTACATGGTCTGTAAGGGAAACTCGTAAGATTGCAATAGGATGCCTCACGCTCAAGCTTTGCTTGCATAGATCTTGGAGCCCAGGTTCGTAGGGCTCCACTCCGGCCTTTTGAAACACGAGTTTTCCTGCCGAGCTCTGCGCTGAAGCTTTTGGCAGGTGCGCTCACCTCATGCCGGGAAGGCGCCTTGACTTTGGACCGTTTCGTGCAGGACCTTGCAGTAGTTGCAGATGTTGCCTTGTCCACAGTCATCCCCGGCACCAGGAAGGTCAGAGACAGAGAGAGACAGGAAGACCCCGATGAGTGCCATAGGGGCGCGGGGACGAGGCCCGGGGATTAGCTGGTCGGGGACTTGCTGTACAAGCATTGTCCTCTAATGCCCCGGTCATTACGACCCCAAAGCCGACCACTCAATAACACAACGGGTGGTCGGGCATTTCCTGAGGGTCCCTAGCGGACCCCTAAGCCCGGCAGAAAGAAAGAAAGGTAGAGATAGAGATTGCCACTTTCGCCTTAGCGTAGCCGGCACTGCTCGAAGCCTGTGCGAAGCTGAGGTTCTAAAAGTTTCTGCAGTCGCGAACAAGACAGTCAGCGCCGGTGAAGATCTCGTGGCCACTTGCCATTATGAGCAAAAGCTTGTGCTAGGCACATTGACAGCCAAGCTCTGTGGCCCAAGTCCGAACCCTGCCCTGAGCCGCCGCTGTGCCGACTTTTTTCCACATCTAAAAGTTCATTCATAGCTGCCGAACCTCCGAGGGTAGTGTTACCAAATCCCAAGCTCGGGCCCTGGGCTGCGAAGTTGAACCGAAGCGTGGCTATGTCGCTGAGGTTCTGGACGCTTTGGTTCCCGAGGACAGCATCTCCCGGGCCATGGGCAAAAACATGTCACAAATGTTCCTTCGCAGCAAGGCGTGCCTAAGTCCACAGAGTCATTGCCGGACTGGCACTTGTGCAGGTGCGTCAGAGGGCAGCAAGTCTACGTGCTGTGCATGCTCATGCATGGGAGCAGCAGTCTCAAGTTCCACATCCGACTCTGCAAGCAGCGATGTCTCGGGTTCGTGAGTGTCATTCACAGCAAAGTATGTCGGCAAGGCGGTGCCGGGCATGGAAGCAGGAGCTGAGTGTGAGTCGGATGTCCCCCCTTCAGCTTTGCAGGACGGGGAGGGCGCTGCTGCCGAGACGGCTGCCATGGCATCGGCGAGCCGCGTGCCACTGGGCCAAGCTCGGAGCATTGCATCGTTCTGTTACATCTCGTTCAGTAGCTCGTAAGTGCTCAGAACGGAAAAGGGGGCGCCGTCCGCGCCACGAAAGTGCGATCAATCAATTGGGTGTTTTTGAAGGCGATGGCTTTCCCCGGACACACCACCAACAGCGCCACAGTTCTAGCAGCATCAAGCGTTTCAGGAAGATTGTTGACTTGCATCAACAGCAGACACAAAAACCAGTGCCGAACGCTGCTGTCAAATATACGATGTAGATGAAGGCCGGCACTTGCAGTCAGCAAGGGGCGAGCCGGGCAGTACTTCGAGTGGAAGTGGAGTTGGTATTCGGAAAACGTCACTCCTGTTATATTGCTGTCGGCCGGAGCATCTTCCGCAACAGTTGCACTGTTTGTCGGAGAGGAGGTGTGAGAGGAGGAGATACAACGCGCGACGGAGGCGACTGGTGGGATCTGCAATGGCAGATGCGACCTCCGTGTGGTACGGCAAAGAAGACGGCAGTGACCCTGGCCAGAGGACATGTGTAAGATCTCCGTAGCATGACAACTGAAGATCGGCATCCTCCCAAGGCACACGCTGGCACATTTCTTCCAACTCATTCCAAGTACTCTAAGGTGTCAAGCCGTGCCAGGGCCCAACGTCAAGCAGTATCCGACTGCCTGCGCCACGTCATAATGACGAGGACGCCAGCTTGGGCAGCCAGGTTGAGACAAGGGCGCAATTCATACCGCAGCTACGGAGACCCCAGTGCTTGGACACGTCCCATGGTGAGTTTCACTATAGCATGATCACTGTTTCAAACGAGGCTCAATAGCGTGCTCCAGATGACTCAGATCAGTCTGTTTGCTGGTGGAACAGCAGCCTCTGTGTGAACCAACTGCAACAATCATGACCAAGTGCTCGGTCATGGTAGCCTTAAGAACCCCATGTTTGGCCGGGATTATGGACTCCTGAGTGGATCGCCTGTGACTGGATTTTTGCAACATATCACAGATGGTTCGCTGTAAATCCTTCCCAAATACGTTCCACCGCCAATACTGGAGATCGCAAACTTGCCGTCGAGTTCTCTCTCGCTTTGCCAGACCTTCATGAAGCGAACTGCTCACCACACTGCCCTGCTGGACGCTGGGATCGACAATACTTCTTCTCGGTTGAGAGTGTGGCTCTTCGAGTCTAGCGGGTTGATGCGGATGTTCGAGTAGCTTCATTCGCTTCAGCGGGTTTGGTTCCATGGTGCGGTGCTGGCAAAAGCTTCATCTTGCAGCTTCGTCCGAAACACCAGCAGCTGCCCCTTACTGCAACTCACAATCAGGCTTCAGCCCAGTTCGCCTCCCGACCTTCCGAAATCCAAGTCTGAAAGCATGTCAGATTCGCTTGCATGATGGAGGGTGCGGAAAGGCTAGAGAATGCGAGACCAAGGACCTGCTCAACAAGCGGTTACAGGTCGTCTGTGGAGGAGGAGGCACTTGGCGGGCAGGGCTCGAACCATGCTCCACGCTGCTCCCGTGCTGCGGTTCATCTTCTGCTGCTGGAGGGACATTCCTCTGTCCCAGGTGTCATCGTTTAGAAGCCCAGCGACTTTAACCTTGTTGGGGCAAGTCTTGCGTAGTACTGAACCCATGACAATTTGAAGGTGCCAGAGACTAAACATGACTAAACTGAACCTGCGGCATACAATTAAGCAAATCTGGGTGATCAAAGGGTGAAGTTATGCCAGATTCTCACGGCTCTTGACATGCTGGGCTTCTTGACGCTCGTATGCGCCATTCGTGTAACATCTTTTTAGCACTCGCAGGTGAGCAGTCAGTGGAGCAGCATCATGCTCGTGGCAAGGCAGCGCAGTCTCGTGCTTCAAGTTCGCACGTGTCGACAGGCAAAGGCTGTTGGTAGGTCTTGAACGCACGAGGCACATGTCAAACGTGGCTTGAGGTACGGCATCATGAGTCGGAAGTATTGAAATCGAGCATTGTGAGCCCGAAGGCTCTGCCTCGCGAGCGCATCAAAGCAGTCCTTGTCCGGAGCCTGGAGAATCCAATCATTTGCCAGCCTTGCCTTTTGATTGACTGGAAGATTCCAAGAGCTTCGAGAAGTTGTTCCCTGGAGAAGTAGCTTCGTAGAATGAGTAGATCTTGGCATCGTTAAATCGAAGAGCAGCAGGTGCCGAGTTCTCCACCGAATCCCTTGCACAAGTCAGGATCCTGGAACGGACTTCCTGGAATTCTCGGCCCTTGCAGCGAACGATCTGTACGATGGCATGGCGCATTCTGCGGGCGACTTCGCTTGAGTCATGCGAATCTGACCTGAACCGTGCCATGATGTGTCGTCTGCAACTTCAGCACGGCACCCGTCCAAGCCTCTCTTGGAGAGGCATTGTGACGGGCGTCGGCCTGGTGCACGGCAAGGAGGTCCTCTTCGTTGCAAACGATGCCACCGTCAAAGGCCGGGAGTGTGGTGTCGTTGGGATTGTTGGCAGGTGCTGTGCATGGCAAATCTTGATGAACTGCCGAAGCCCGCGTGCGAGGCGGAACCTACTACCCGATGACGGTCAGCAAACACTTGAGGGCACAGCAAATCGCAATGGAGAACAAGCTTCCTTGCTCCTCGTTTTCAGCTGGGGATTGGTCTGTTGCAAGCGGAATGTAGTGCAGTGGGACATGTATTAGGCTGAGATGTCGATGTGGCGGTTCAGAGGCTGTGCCATAGGATCGCAGCAGACAGCGATTTGCTGGTCAACGGTCAAAGCCGGATGTGAGCTTCAGCAAAGATTTGGCTTGTCAAACCGTGCCTGACACCGCATCCGCGTCCCAGAAGGTGCCCAAGCGACCAAGCCATGCAATGCTTGCATTCAAGGTGTTTATCTTGTCGACAGTGGTGGCGCATACCTTCCGCTGCAGGACGAGGTGCCAAGAATCCCGATGCACGCCCTCCTCACACGACTTCGAGCTGCTTTCCGCTCAGGTATTCCCTGGGCGTCTCCACTTCGGTCGCATCTTCTACAACCAGGCGAGCCGCAGCACAGCTGGCAGTAATCTTTCCCTGTGCTGCCACAGATAGAGGTCTGCTGGTGATGCAGTCCTACGGTTGATGATATAAATCCTGCATTACCTTAAGGGCCCTAAACCATGGGAACTATGGTCTATTCCTGATTATGGGTAATGCAGGATTTGTATCATCAACCGTAGCAGTCCCTGCTCCGTCAATGTCAGGCCCAAATGTCTCGTCGTGGCTTGCCACAAGCAGCTTGGACTTGACAGCGCTGCCATAGAAAACTCAGGATCATGGAGCTTTGGCCCCAAAGGCACGAGTCTCCTAATGCATGGCGAGCATTGGTATTTATGTGGCGAAAGGCTTCAACGTCCAAAAAAAGTGTGTCTGTCTGGTGAACAGCCAGAATCTAGAATCTAGAGTGTCCGTTACTGGCAGCGAAGTGTCCAGAAGCTGGGAAGTCCGCCTAGGCCGTGTTGCCGCTCATGTTGCTTGTTTTTACTTTACCAGCAACCACTGAGATCTCCGCGGTCCTGGGATCGTGCACTGCGGGCGGCGCCTACGTCCCTGTGGCTCGGTATGCCAGCTCATGTTTGCATGAAGGAATGAAGAGGCCGCTCTTGTACACCAAGCCAACCCTCCGATATCTTCCGGGGCTTACTGCGGTGGGAGGCATGACATTCGTTGTTCCGTGGCAGAAAGTGAGACACCCATTTCCCAACCATGAATTGGGGCCGTTTGACCTCAAGGAGAAAAACCCGCAACATGAACCAACCAGCCAGCCAGCCAGCCAGCCAGCCAGCCAGCCAGCCAGCCAGCCAGCCAGCCAGCCAGCCAGCCAGCTAGCAAGCCACATCAGCAAACGAAGAAAGAGGGGACGGCAACCTCTGTGTGTGGGCATTTCCGTGCTGCAGGTGTAGAAAAAGGTTTCAGGCGACGGGAGCATGGCTGCACACTGTTTAATTATTTCATGTCATCGTGAGAAGCAGTTGTTGAATCATGCAAGCATTTGCATCGCCCTTACTGTGTCGCCCACTGTTTATGCTGTTTTTGGACACTCGGAGCGGGTGGAGATGACCAAATGGGTGATTCGTTTGCTAATATGCGGCACTCCAGGCAATGTCAGACGAGAACATCATCGTCAAGGGCAGCATGGCATCACGGGGTCTGCAGTGCCAGTTTTGACACATAGTTAGTAAGTTTTAACAGGCTTGGAACTTGCTCGCATGAACTTTGAAGTTGCTGAAGCAAGGCCGTTTGCGCTGATGAGAACTCTGGGCCCTCACTCTGCCTTTTTCCTACCTCCACTACGCCCAGGCAATGGCACCATCTTCCTCGGCGGGCCGCCTCTTGTGAAAGCCTCCACAGGTGAGGTGGTTACTGCCGAGGCATTCCGAGAAGGGACATTGAATGGCCAGAGCAAGGCGTAGAAGTTGGGGGTGGCAGCATCTTTTTGCCGGCTTGCCGCTTCCCATCGATCTTGCCTGTGGTCTCTCACCATGTCGACAGGGACCCGAGAGCTGCATCCTCCAACGATCCGATGCAGCCTTCGAAGGGTTTCCTACTCGCTCTCGCTCGCTCTCTCTTCCTCTTTCATTCTCACTCTATCACTTTATTGAGATTTTGGTGGAGAAGGATGGAACATCGCAAGGATGTTGAGCTCTTTTATTGGGGGTGTTTGTGAGCTGCTTGCTGCAGGGCTCACGAAACACCAACCACCTCCCAAAGTCTTACACTCTGAGTAGACTGAGTCAACCTACTCAACTGTCTAGGCCTATATGGCTCCGAGAGATGGGACGTTTGCCTCTGACCTCAGTCCTTGTCCTCGGAGGAGCTTGGTGGTGCAGATGTGCATACCTCGAAATCTGGCGTTGCAGATCACTACGCGGAGAACGAACCGCAGGAATCAGTGTCACCGGGGCTTGCCTTTGGACTTTGCTACGTCTAGTTGGCTCTCGTTGAGCCTAGCCTGACACTTGAAGAGCGTGCAAGCAGGTGAACTCTTACTTCTGACCCCCCTAATCCCGCCTCCTCAACCTGACGGAGGCCTTGGCGATCTGCCGTGAGGCGCGGCTTATTGCACTGAGATCTTCTACATTACATTATAAGTAAGAAACAGCAGTGCTTCGGCAGTTGCTCGGTCATCGAGTCTCGTAGGTGAGGCACACATCAGGCGCATCTGGCTGAAATCTCGTTCCCAAGCCATGACTTAGTTTGCGGAATCTTTCCCCGTTTTCGGTCTTCATAGCAGCAGTCTACTACTAACCCACTCAGAAACCGATTACTCTTTGTCTCCCTCCTACATCTCACCCAATGTCTCACTACTACTTCCCCATTGCCAATACATGTATAGGCGTAGCCGATTACCTCATCCATGTTAGAGGACTACTCCTATACTCCTTACTACCATTCTAGGAATAACCCTCTTCCCCGATCCATATTCCCGACCATCCCAAAATTGGCAAAGGTTCCCCTCGCTTAGATTTCGCGAGTTTAGGTTAAAGGTGAGCAGCACGGCATTCTGTCTCGGTGACAACTTGCGTCTCCAAGAATGCTCGGTGGCAGAATCGGGTTTACGACAACTGCTGACTTGTAATAATCCGTACAGGCGATAATGTGCCAGACCATGGTTTTTGTTAGCCGCAGGGTGCGGGTTTACTCTGCATAGTATACCAGCTTTCCCATACTGCTTGATTCCTGCCCTGAGGTCTTAGCACACGTTGGCGAACCTACGCATCCCAAGCATCCGGAGGCGCCTGTGTTTCGTCGTCAGGGTGTGTTGTCTGAATCCTACGGCGACTCGTTCGTCACACCTGGTTCATGCGGCGGATGTAGGCTGTCATCAACTTTCCTGCCACTGCTCGAACCTCACCCTGCCGAAATCCCAAGCCCTGACACGAGCACGGCATTGAGAGGTGGAGCCAGAAGCCCCGCTCTTCGATCCCAAGGATCTTCTAGGGATTATCCCTGAAGACAATTCCAAGGCCAGGCCGAGGGGGTATGGAAAGTTCAAGCCAGATTCCCCACGTGCAGGGTCTTTGAAACTTCTGCTTTGTTTGGGGAGTTGAGCCGAAGTAGCACATGTTCTCTAACCTTGGTTTAGAAGGCAAACCTTTGCCCTTGCCCTTTTCTTTATTCAGAACCCATCAAATGCCAAGTCTCAACCGGAAGGCCTTGGAAGTGCGCGAGGCCTGATGTCGTGTGCATGTGGGTGCATGATTGCTTTCCGTCCATGGAGCACTGACACATGAAGATGTCAATCCCAAATGGCCATTCCAAAAAACAGCCGCGCCTTGCAATTTCCTTGGACAGATCATCGCGCGAATCGTGGACGGGTCGCGCTTTCACGAGTTCAAGCACAGGCGGCATCTATCACCGGAAGCAACGGTGTGGGGCCTTCGATTGCAGACCAGGGTGGCTGTATGAATCGAGAAACCGATATTGGAAATGCTCTACTGCTCCTTCATGTAGACTGCAGCCCGCAAATTCGACATCCATATTAATCATGAACGCCAGCAGCTCGAACATGTTTCAAGAGCTGCGAACTGTCTTCGGGCTGCACAGTGTGTTTCGCGTTGAAAGGAGATGCCACGAGCCACCGCCTGTGGAAGACATGTTTCTTCTCTGTTCTTCTGAAGATTCATAATTGAGGTTAAACAGCGCAGAGCTGGCAAGGTTTAATTAGTGAAGTTCAGCATTCAGTATCGGTAGTCAGCCTGCATACTTCCATGGCACTGAAGCAGGTTCGGTACCACTTTGGTGTGCGGTTTCGCGCATATTCATGGCTACCCCGTTGGCATCACGGCTGCAAAGGCTATTGTGCAGTGTGTTTTCCAGAGACCCAAAGAGCATTGCCGTGTTGATGCAACTAAGCCTTCACAACCTTCAGAGTCAGATGCAGCAGCTGACATCCGATGACAATTTTCAAAGTGGCCATCAAAGGTATTGTGGCCAACAACGGGATCCTCTTTGGCGAGTCAGCAAGGATCTCGGTGCCATTTTTGCGGCCTTGTGGCCAGTGTCTCGCAAGACGAAGCCGCAGCTGTCACCCAGAACGAGATGTCACCCCTCGCATCATCTCGCGCTGTTTCGTACCACTTCGTCATTGGCTCATTACGCTTGTATGATAAGCTTGACAAGACATCTCGCCAGCTGCAGGGCACCGTTTACTTGCAGAAGGATTATTGTCATGTTTATGTCAGCAAGTGCATAGCATAGCTTGGCTGAAGTCAAATAGATGTGAGTCTTGCTCACAGGCCCAAAAGGGAGCGCACTTCGTGCAGCTCTGCGGCCAGCGCCGGATTCCATTGTTGTTTCTCGGTTTAGGCATGTTACCGGACTTTCCACATGTGAGCAATCCAGGGTCACGGTTGGCACATCGAGCCCGCGACAAAAACAGGTAGAGTCCTTGTCACTCGACTTGGAATTGATGTAGCTTACTCAATCTTCCCGACTGCAGCGACCGGTTTTGAGCTTGAGACTTCAAGTTTTGTCGCGACAACTGATCTAAGCTCAACGAACACGAACTTGGAGCGCGAAGCGCTATGTCGTGAAGCACCACTTCCCGACACACCGGAAGATGTCGTGGCTTTGGATTCTATCAAGAACCCAGCATATCTGGAGGTTGAAGAGAGCCTGGTTGGCATGCCCCCGTGTGGTTTGGATATGTAGTCAGTCAATGTAACCGACTTCCTGTTTGAGCCACAAGCAAGCTGTCAGCAGCGATGTTCGATCAAGGTTCTTGCAGAACATCACCGGGTTCATGGTGGGCAAGGCTGTCAATCCTTCAGTGCAGATGCCTCGTGACCTGCGCAGGTTGGATCGAAGACTCACCGCTTTTTGAGATGTTTCATGTGACATCACGATAGTGGCAGCCAGCATCGATGCGATCTCTGTCAACTCCATCAAGGGTCAAATTTCATCGCATCCAATCTCAGAGCACACTGCTGGACAGGTCCTCATGATTCCCCTTTGGCAGGTTTTGCCCAAAGAAAACCGTAAGTAGGAAAACCGACATTTCCGAGCAGCAACAGTCATCATGCGCCTCTGCGACATTGGTGTGACAGCAACACAAGGGTGGGGACACGGTGCCCAAGCCATCTTTGGCAGTGGAAGCACAGCACCGGCTGGACGACTGGAGTCCGTGACAAGCCTAAATACCGAGAAATTACACGATGATGCACTCGTGCTCTTCGAGCTTTAGGCTCGACTGCTCTTTAGCGCTTTCGTGCAGGCCAAGCCTCTTGAAGCCGAACTCGCAAACACTTTCGACACCATGTGGAGGCCTACGAGAACGGTGGCATTGCACGAGATGGAGCCAAGATGGTCAACGCCGTTGCGTGCGTGGATGTGCCCAAGATGCCTGACCTGCGATCAGATTTACGCACGAGGGGTGCAGTCGACAGCATGAGATTTGTCGATGGAGCTCGTTGTGAATTTTAAGTGCAATGTGGCAATTTGCATCCGTCCAGAAATTTCAGGTGACTTTAACGAGTTGCTTTGCTGTTGCCTTTCTTTTCGTGTAGGAGATGCACTTTACTTAATGGCGATGTTGTTTGGAACTTCTACTCCTCTGCTGGAGTCATTGCTGTATCCGAAGTCTTCTGAGAGCTCCATGTCCTCTGTCTGCTAGGATCACAGTGATCATTGCCGGGAGCCATGGTGCCGGGAACTACGGTATGTGCCTCGTCTCAAAGCGGTTTGGGCTGGCTTTGAACCAAAACTCGGGCACCCCAAAGAAAGAGGATTCATAGTCCTGATAGGCAAGTATCCTGCGGGCTTCAGCCCTGGAATATTCAAAGTCCAAGCTGCCACACACCGTTCGAGAACGAACGGATCTTCTTGAATTGCATGCTGCCTGGCTGGGAGCTTGAGTGCTAAAAGTTTACGGTTGTGCCCACAGGAGTGTAGGTAGTTTTTCATTTTTCTTTTTCCGGTTCCGCAGCTCCAGTTCCTCGGTCCTGGCCCCTCCCATCCAGTCCTCTCTTTGCTCGCTTTGCAGGTGTGGCCGCGCTTTTGACCCTCGCTTTCTCTTCATGTGGCCCAATGCTCGTGCCTTCGACAGGGTTTTGTGCCTCACATGAGAGACGCATGTCTGTGGCGGCATCGTGACTGTTCTCAAGCCAGGCATCGGTGTGATGGGTGGCTCGCAGGCGGCAGAGGTGCTCACCACTGTCAAGCAGGCACCGGTGTATTCTCTTGCAGTTCCTTGCGAGGTTCAAGCACAATGGCAAGGAACCGAAAGCCGGAGCTCTTTGCTGTTAGCTTGCATCAGCTTGAACATCCAAAGTATCACCCTCGGAGTGCATCTATCAAGCCGCTCAAGCCTGCCCGTCTTTCTTCTCTTCTCTGTCGTTTCTTTCTGTCTTTGTGTTTAGCATGATGTTGTGCTTGTGAATGTGGACAAAAGCATCAATGCGTAAATCTCTCATCCCTCCCCTCTCCTTCCTCCCTCTCGCTCTCGCGCTCGCCGCCTGCTTCATCACCTTTGCCCCTGGCCTTTCTCCCTCCATCTCTCATAGGGTGCACTGAAGTGAGCTTTGTTCTGCTCTCTGCTTGGAGGCACAGCTGAAGCGACAGGGCAAGCCCGAGATGACCGAGCAGCAGTTTTCCGGCGCAGCAATACTTCGGGGTTTTCTTCGTTTCTGTCTTCAGGAGCTGTGGCTCGGCGGTGCTTGATGCTTGGATCTGCTTTAAGTTCGAAGAGAAATTCGGCAGAAAGGCATCGCGCCATTCTTGAAGGAGTAGACTCCTTCCGCAGATACTTGTCTGCCCCCCAAACTGGCTGGCACTGGTTTCTCAAGCTGACCCACCAATCAGGTCTCAGGCAAAGTCATGCAGTGCTGAGCACGGCCGTGGCGAGGCCTTCAATACATGACGTGGCGCACAGGTGCCACCTGCGCTCCTGGCGATCGTGAGAGCATTGTTGTATTGCCTTGCGTCCCGGCTCGTCTGTGCTGCCTTGCGTGCTTCCTCGCTGACCGAAACTGCAGTGGGCAACGACGACGAAGCCAAAAGCCTCAAGCAGTGCTTGCCGCTGCTTGAGGTTCCAACACGTTGAATTTGCGTGTCGACACTGGCCCTTTCCAGCTGGGGGCGCTGATCCGCGCGAGTTTTTGCTCCATTCTTGAAGACCAGCAAATCAGGGGTTCAGCCTTCTTGTTAATGGGCTGCGCTGGGACTTCAGATTTCCCAAGTGCCTCCTGGAGTTTGCCCTTCCTGGGCCCATGGACGTTTGACCAGTGGACTTTGGCTTTGTGCACCTGGCCACATGCCTCGCAACAAAAACTGCCGTTCTTGGCGGAAGTAGGTGCTAAAGGTGGTTGGCCGCAAGACAGTGCAGGCGGGGGTCGCTTTGGAGACCATGAGCCTCTCAAGAGTGCTCGTTGCTTGCTGTGGAACCAATCTCAGTCTTGCATTAAAGCTGTTTCTAGCTGTGAGTATATGTAGTCGTCGGCCCGTCAGACAGCATTGAGCAACGTATTCTGAGACACTCTTCTGCCTGTTTGCTTGCCAAAATAGGAATTGTCTGCATCACCCACTGACGGCACGGGACGAAGCACATTGCAAGACCCTACCCGGCTGTCCATGTGGCTCAACGCCTGCAGAGGTTATGGACATGAGCTGACACGGAGTCTTGTGAAGAACTCACTCGATTGAGGCTGCAGGACTTCAAGCAGCCGATTCTGGATAAGTATGAAACGGAAGGTGGGAGTTCAGATGCACAGTTGCCTCACTTGTCAGCGCCCTCATGTCTCAAGCCAAGACACAAGAAGCCACACTCCTGTCTCTGCGGGCCTGACTAAGATGTGCTTTCATTGGAAGAGCTGGAGTTGAGTTGAGCTTACGCTGAGCATGGCCTTGGAAACAGGAAACCCCTACCACTCAACCTCTCGGCTGTGGGACGACGGAATCATTGCCCGGGCCTCGGGACCGGCCCCGTCAGTACTCTGACTCTCAATGCCAAGATGATCGCGAAGAGCAGCAGGCTTTATTAGTCTGGCACTGGTTCGGCATTCACACGTGGCGATCGCTATGATCAAAATGCACGCGCTTGAAGGTTCCCGCACCTGTGCTGAGGATCCTCGTGACACGCGGCAGGTGCTTGGCAGATGCTTGTGCCTGGGCGATGTCTTGAACGTGAGCGCATGCAACTGTGTGCTCCACTGGTTCGGTCTGATGCAGTCAGAGGCACAGAGGTGCTTGCTCAGTGACCAGGAATGCCACGTACTTTTCAGGGTAGGTGATTGATAAACGACCCGACACCTGCGTGCACATGTTCAATAGCCGATGCTTGGCTTGAGCCCCCATACTCATTGTCAGTAAGGCCTACCGTGCCCGCTTGCTGTCTTGCGCATCACCAAGGCGAATTTGCAGCCGAGCACCTGGTGAAGCCTCCATGGGTGGCTTCGGCGTGTTCCGCATGTGAGGCCGAGCTTAGACGGGAATCGAAGGCCTTTCAAGCGGGCAAGGCAAGATACGATCTGCAATTTCAACCGGAAGTCAATGATCCGTCGCGAAACCAAAAGCCTGATCCTGGCAATCCCCGTGCCCTCGAAACGAAACTCAGAACTTTCTGCTGGGAGAGAAGGTCCGAGGACACCTTGCAAGTCGGTTGACTCCGACAGATTCCTCTCATTTCCTAGCGGTTTGATGCTGGCTGTCGCTCCTCCATAGCTGAAAAGTCTCCCTCCTGAAGCATGATGCTCTTTCTTCGGGGCGGCGCCTGTAAATTTGGGCCAAATGACTTTGCACAAGTTCGCCATGCGGCAGTGGCACGAGAGACAGTTGGCCACGAGACGAGACCAAGACCGGCGTGATCGCTTCCCTGTTTCTGATAGTAACTAGTCGCTCAGAGTCGGTTCCGTAGTTCGGTGAGACCAGTGGTACACTCTCCGGTCATGTCTTGCCGTTGAGTGTGTTGTTGGGTTCTACCTACATTTTTCAATCCGACTGCTGCTGAAACCTTATCTTCTGGGGAAGAAGCAACAGTGGAAGCTGGCTGCTGCTCCTGGCATTTCTCAGTTGTCAACAAGATGCATTTCCAAGCAGGAAAGGTTGCCTATCTTTGGTATTCCTGCTAAGCGCTTGTATGTCTGTGGGGGTATAGTCGTGCTCGGATCTCTTGCGCCTCAAAAAGAACCAAATGCGCACGAAAAGGGAGCTAGCGAAAAGTCGAGCGCGTTGTCTTTAAGCTGCGGTGGGCTGGCAGTGGCCAGTCTGCAGGAGATCATTGCCCTGAAAACTCACACACTGAAATGTTCTGACTCTGGCGTAATCTTGGTCCTTTTTAGGACCTTCAATCATTTCGGAAAGTTTACAAGCGGCCGGCCCTCAGAGACACACAAGAAAAGTCATTTTTCGAGAAACATGCGATACACTTCGGTGCTTTCGGCCTCCCTCAAGTTCACACATGAAAGGCGTGTTTTGTCGGTTTCGCACATTCGAGGCTTCATGCTTTCTTTGTGAAATCTGTCTAGACGCACGGCCTCTTTCAGGTACCGTTGTCTTGTTCTTGCTGGCATGTGGCTTAAATCTCGAAGGTTTACCTTCTCAGGCTGAAGCCACACTGCTTCAACGTGAGCCTTTTGATGCTGATGGTGCTCGCTCTCGCTGGCCCATGATGCTTGCTCTCGGTGCTGAATAGCTCTGAGGCTGATGATGCTCGCTCTCGCTGGTGCTGATGCTCATGGTGCTGGTTCTGTCTGTTTCTCGCTGCTCCAAAACGTGGTAGTCTCCTTCCTGAAGCATGATGCTTGCTCTTGTTGGTAAATGGCTGAGTGGTCTACCTGCTCCCACTGCTTCAAAGTCAGCCTTTTGATGCTGGCGATGCTCGGTCTCGCTGCCCCATTTTCTACAGTTTCGCTTCTGATGCTCACGATGCTTCCTCTCGCTGCTCCATAGCTTAAATGCCTCCGGCTTGAGACTGATGCTGCTAGCTCTGGGTGGTCCTCGGTGGTCCATTGCATGAAGGCTACCCCTTCTGATGCTGATGATGCGCGCTCTCGTTGCCTCAAGCTCTACAATTTCTCTTCTGATGCTCATGATGCTCGCTTTCACCTCCCCATAGGGTAGAAGTCTACCTTCTTCAGCCGGTGCATGGCTTCCAAGTTTCCGTTCTCATGCTGAGTCTCGATGCTTTATGTTTTTCATGTTCGGATGATGGTCGCTCTCGCCGGTTTATGGGTGAAGAGCTGGCCATGGATGCTAACTGTTGCTGTCTCAGTGCTTAAAAAGTCTCTCTTCTCATTCTCCTCATGCTTGCAGCTCCAGTGCCAAGAGTCTCGCTTCTGCTCTGCATGATGCCTCTAGATGACAATAAATCCAGCCCCTGAAGGTGAAGTGAAGGAGTGCACGGAGCTTGAGGCTCCATCCGCCGATGTGCGGCACTGTGCAGTGGCTGGGACGAGGGATGGAAAGTCTTTAAGGAAATGGACGATTGTGTCGGTCCAGCCTGCCTTGAGCTTCTGACGCCAACAGTAGGTTGAACCGGTGTTCGCAGCTTAACATGTCAAGGCCACAGCATCGCGTGTTATTTTGAGGACTGAGTCCCGAGTCCACTTCGGGCTGCCTCAGCCTTACCGAGGACGCTTTTCCCTGCGAGCTGTTTGTGATCGCACGGGCCAGAGCTGCGTCCGAAAAATTCGATGGCAAAGGTTCAGAGCCAGCATCGAAGCCTTTTGCAAGTGTTCCTCTCATTCCCTATTGTCCTATTGCCCTTCTCTTTCCTGCCATGACGCAGGATTCTGAGTCGTATTTGCACTTCATCTCAGAGCCAAGTCTTCGATGCTTGTGCTGTGGCTGCTTTGCATCAATGCACGGTGCCCCCTTGTGTTGCATTTGGCGACCGGACGGGCTTCTTTTGCTTACATAGATTTGAATGGGGCAGAGCTCTGGCATCAGGAGCACGAGCGATTAGATGAAGTGCTTACAAGCCACTGGGTCTCCCACGACAGCAAATCGTGGTTGAATAAAGAGCCGAGTGTGTAAAGCATGCGTAAGCACAGAGGAGGCTCTCTTCACGAGAGCAACTCTTCCACATGCTTTCGTACCTTGTCCCTGTTTTGACCGAGTCGGTGGCTTAGTCGTGATGCCGACGATGTCGGAACTCTGCTGCAAAATAAAACATCGTTTGTATACTTGCAGTGCCTTTGAAAGTGGCTTCGTGCCCATGTTGGAGATTTCTCAAAGTCGGCGGCCTGTATGGAGATCAGGGGCACGGAATTGAGAAAGATCCACACTGCCCAGAGCTATGCTTGGGGGCGCCCGCACTTTAAATGCCGAGCGCTCTCTTTAGGGTGGACTTGTGCAGGCTGGGCTTTTCAGCTTACAGCATCAAACCCAGAAGGCAACTTTGTGCGAAGCCATGTCCGAAAACCTTGTCTGAAGCTCACGGTGTCAGATTTTTTGCAGAAGAGAACATTCCAGAGAAGAGGACCATTCAGACAGCCCGAACAGGCGTCGATGCTCGGGGATGCGTGACATACCAAGCTGAAAAATCTCATATATCCTCTGACAACCTGAACGGAGCGAGTACCGAACAAATCTTCCTTTTGCCAAAGAGTTGCAGAACCCGTTTTCATTTGCATCATTTTGATTGGGGCTCAGGGCTCAGCCATCATAACTCCTTGTGCGGGTTGGGTTGTGAGCACTAGCATTATGCAGCATCACGAATGGGGCGTCACACCATCAAGGTTGTGGGGTGCTGAAGGCTTGTCCAGCATCGCCCCTTCCGGGGTGCAGCAGATGTTATCAGACTGCACGTTGAAGCCACATCCCCGTATCCACAGCAAGCAGAGTTTTCTGGAAGGTGTCGGTGTTTCTACCAACCTCTTACTGCTTAAGATTTGAGCCCCGGCAAATCGAAAGCGATTTCAAGCGTCTACGTCAATCCAAGGGTTTTTGGCAGTCCCAGAATATCTTTGCCGTGAAACGGGTCGAGCGTAAGGGTCCCAGTCAGGTGAACCACCTGCTGGAGGTGAGTAGCCTTACNNCTTACAGTGTGAGCTCAGGGAGTCAGACAACTCAAAGCCAAACGTGCAAAGAGTACCTCTTATACACTCTACATCATCTCAGTGATGGAGCAGTTGCTAACACTTCCAATGGCGGCCGACAAGATCAGCAACCAAAGAAATCGCAAAGCCCAAGCACAGCAGGTTTGACAAACTCGGGTGATGAGGATTGAGGTTGAATTGATTGCCTTTGGCTACGAATCAGCCTTCTCCTGGACAAGCAAGCAGCATCACAGTTCTACAGTTTTCGATTCTAAAGTCATCCTCTAGTCTTAAACGTAAACCAAAGCTCTTCCCCCGAGACCCGTCCGGAATACAAAGTTAAGGGGATGTGGTTATGCAGAGTACTAGTAGTCTATGGGTTATTAGTTATAGTTGCATCTTGACATCCGCAGTAAGCATGGCTTTCTGGCTGATCGGGACATGAAAGCCAAACTTTGCGTGCGTTTTCGTTGAGAGATCTTCTTGGATGCTATGCTCGTTCCATATCTGTTGAAAGCTGCGGGTTCTGAGTAAGGCAGAAGATACAACAGCTAGCCTAGCAGTGGGGTCTGGATGTCAGGAGCACGTTGACGCAGCCTCACCTTCAGCCTGTCTGCTCGGGATAGGAGTGACTGAGCACGTGTGTCTGTTGTTGCCGCTTTACACGCTGCTGATGCCCGCAACGTTCAAGGACATGAAGAACTGGCGATATAGATTCAAGGGCCGGACGGCAGCAAGCGAACATGCCAAGACACCCGTTACGGTTCAAGCTCCCATAGTCGTGCTTCAACACCTTCTGCTGTAAGCCTATCACGCCGAAGCTGCTGTTTGCCCCACAATGACCTCAGGCTCGCTGTGATCCTTTCTCGGCCATGAGCCATGAGCCATCATGAGCCTGATGCATCGCTTCCTTGGAGCTGCATTCTGGCAGACACTCCAGGTCCAGGCCTCGGCCAGCTCTCTCAGCTCGCCTTGCACTGGAACTCATGGAATCTCATATGAGGCTTTTTGAGCCTTTTGTGTGATTTCTTGAAACAAAACCTCTGATTTCCGACCCAGGTTTCAGCACAAGCGCCCGGCAGCTGCCGTGGCAAGCGCCTAGGCGTGCTTGGGTTGAACGTGCTCTTCCCGAGGGTCTTTCTGCTCCTTTGGGGCCTCAAGCGGGCTCCGGTTCCGAACGCATGTACGCGTCAAGAAGGCTGTCGTCTTTCAGCTTGTATCGGTTTCTCGGATGCCTTAGAGCTTGGAGGCTTGCACATGCGCCAACAGTCTTGTGGGTTGAGAATGTCAATCCGCGGGTCACGATTTGCGTGCTTCGGCAATGAAGTTGATTCGCTGAGACGGCTGCTTTCGTGCATGGCATCATGGTCTGGGCGTAACTTGATAATATGACACGGAAGGTTGAGCTTCTACTTTCAATTCAGCATTGCCGCATGTTTCGCAATCGGCCAAGTCAACACCCATGGAAACCCGAATTTGCAGAAGCCGGCAACCTTGGCTTCAGCATCATACACCGGGACCGGACTAGCTCGTCAACAGGGTGCCAGCAGCTCGCCAGGTGAGGCCTGCGAGGTTGATGCGGGACGCCTTGCTGCTTTAGCCCCGGAACCTTCGCAAGTTCTCTGTTTGCTGCGTGCCTTAGGGATGCATGTGGAGGAGTCAATGGTGTCGGCCTAGGGCCGACCGCATAAACCAAGAGCACGGATTCGCATAGTCGCGTGGCCTGTTCGGGCGCGCTTCAGAGGTCGCTGCGCAGCGTCAAGGTGTCTGTGCTTCGCTGCAGGCGCCTCCCTTTCCCTCTGTTCGCCCAGCCGACCCTCGCAGGGAGTCAGGGGTGCAAGTCAATTGCGGGGGGTGCTCGTCTGCAAGATTCGTCAGAGCATCAGGGGTAGTCCCTCCTAACAAAGTCTAAGTCTAACGGTGGGCAAAATCCATGGGATAACTAGACTTCGGTTTGTTGCCGAAATATCTGTCGATCACCTTATCAGGTTCAGGTTTTGACAAGTTTCCGATTGGAGTTGGAGGCCTTTGCCCCTTCATCTTTGGAGCACACAAAGATCACGGTCGCTCACTGGGTCACTAGGGTCTCCTTGCAGGCACCGCAAAGCGGCCCAGAGCTTGTGTGCCTCGCTTGTGGAAGTGCCCGGGCCTGCAGCGAAGGGATGTCTCCGTCTCCGCTTTTGTACGGGAGAAGCTTTGCGGCGCATGCTGAGGGGTGCGGCCGACTGCGTACGAATGCAGCGTCGATGAAAGCTTAGACTGAAGTGCTACCGTGGCACCTTTTCCAGAGGCTATGCTTCCATGGATTTCGCTGACCGCCTCGGCAGCGAGCTAGGTCAGCTCGGAACTTGGGGTGCGGCTTGGCTGAAGCAGAGTGGAAGCAACAAAGCAAGTGCCTGATGAGTCGCGGTGTAGGAAGCAGAGCCGGCTGCACTGCAGATGGTTTAAATCCGGCAGACCTTGTCTCTCAGGCAGGATAGTCTTTACATTCAGCGAGCAGTAGCACCTGATGCGACCTTGCAGCAGCTTGCGTCGCGTCCTGTGCAAGTTCAGGTGCCGAATCCCAGCCAATGCAGAAAACTCATTATGAATCCCAAAAGCGATGCAGCACTCAAAGAATGATTGCTGGTCGCATTTACAAGTGCAACACAGCCGTATGCCATTTGATCTGACAGACTGACTCACTCCACGCAGGCCCCGGATCCAAGCCTGTTGTATTCACTGCAGATCCCCCCGGGTCCCTTTGGGTGGTGGGTTGCGGGCAACGCCTTGCAGCAGTAAGCGAGGTCCTGGCCGTGGGCGCCACAATGGGCTCAGTTGTCACTTGTGGTTCGCGGCTCGGATTGCTGTCTCAAACCTGTTTCTGGCACTGACATGGGTGTCACGAGAGAGTGATTTGCGATATGGTTTCTAAGACCTCTCAGAGGGAAAGTAATTCCCGCCCCATGGAAAGGTCTGCTCACCGTGGCATGGCACCTGCGGGGTCTCTTTGAGACACCCTTCGAGGACTCCTGCAGGGTTGCAGGCTGTGGCCTGGCAGCTCACGGTTGGCTTGAGGTTCAGTTCCATCAGTCTTTGGTTTTTGGTTGTTTGCGTGTCGTGAGAGTTTCATGTAAGAGCACTTGCACAACTCTATGCATCAGCAGTCAACGAGACTGGGGCTGCTGCGGACCCCAGGAGCTATCCATGGAAGCGGATGACTTGGTGGAGGAGTACAATATGCAGAAACAGCAGAGGCTAGTCGAACGGCTTTCATTGACAAGTCCATGAAATTAAACAGGATCGAGTATGATCGAGTGGGCCAGGGCCAGATTTCCTTTGGAGCCAGCAGCTCTCTCGCCGCGCATTGTGCAGCATCGACAGGGGGGCAGTCTTCCGGAGCTCCATGCTTTGAGAACTCTCCACCTTGATAGACTGGCTCAATGGCGAGGTCGCTTCCGGCACGCCCGGCCGCGGACGTGGAGCTCGGACAACTCCTTGGGAAAAGCAGCAAGGCAAGAAACGCTAGATGAGTCGATCCATCGCCTCGAGCAAATCCCAACCAGGCAGTGCGCCGCGAAACGTGCTCCAGGACTCCCGATTCGCCGATCGGATTCCGGCCGAGATGGCCTCAGCACAGACCGCAGAAAAAAACCATCTTCCCTGCCCTCCTCTTCAGGACCTCGTCGGGTGCGCGCAGCGGGCTTAAAGAGCTCCGAGCGGCGGAAGCCGGGCCAGGCGGCGGTCCTCCGGGGGAGGGGAGGAGCTCGTGTCTAGGAAGCTGCCTAATGTGCCTAGCCTAGTCTGGGGCGTTTTGAGGCGTTTTTTGGAGGTGTGTTGAAGCCTGCAATGCCTGGGCCATGGGATGAATGGCAAGCTGCAATCCTTCCAGGGCGGCACAAGGCTGCCGGCGAGGCTCCAGCAAGGGGCTCGATGCTCGCCACTGCAGGCCGTGGTCGTGGGAGGCCATGGCATTATGCATTGCGGGAAGGCAGTCAGTCGCGAAACAGAGAGAGCATGCAGATCGATAGTGCGTTTTATTGCATGCTAGATTGCATCCTGCGTTGTTTGTGAGATTTGCTGATGTGCTTGCGCACACGTCTTGCACAAGAAGTTCAGCATTGCGAAGCTCTGCTTGTTGTTTTGCAGGGCCATGGCACCGCCCCGAGACTCGAAGTGGCTGCTGTTTCTCGGCGAACGGGCTTTAGATGTTGGTAACGACATGCGGCATGCAGCCCTAGCCCTGAACTATTGCTGATATCCGGGGTTGGCTTTCTCACCTGCCAACGAATGGTGGTAGGAATGACCAAGTATTCCTGCTAACAAGAGATTCTATGGTGTGAACATTCAGACTTGAAATTCTATGTGGTGCTTTCCAAATACACCTGTCTCCACATCCAACATGCACACAGCACCACCCAGCACGAATCAACAAGCACAACTTACAAACCGCTCTTGAGTGCATCGTGCCCAGGAGAATGCCGCCCACCAGGACCCATCACATGGTTGACCTTCCATGTTCCATGTCTCGTAAGTGAACAAGATTTAGAGATTTCTCTCGTCCAAAGCTTCCAGCTGCTTCAATCCATGATGCAAGAATTTTTCGCTCCGCCCAAGACCCGAACACTGCACGGAGCCAAACTAGCAATCACCAAAGTCGCCTTCAGGCTTGAGGCAGCCTTGGACCGAGACCAGCACACGGAGGACCTGCACGAATTCAGGCAACGGGGAGGTTCTGTTGCTGGGATGGGAGCGTGCCGGGTCCCTTTTGCACCAGCATTTCGGTGGTCGTCCATGCGGATGTTGTGACGGCAAGCTGGTCGGCAACATGCTGGGACCACCCTGAGATCTGGAAAGTCATAGCCGACCCAACTGGCGCCCCTAAATCCTCCTATAGTAAACGCCAAAAAGTTGGAAACCGGATTAAGGACGATTGGTGCTGGGATTACCTATACATTACTCTTAAGTATTGAGGCTATTGGGTTTCCAACTTTTGGGCTTCTACTGTAAACTATATCTCGCAGGACGATGGCTTGGGTGCCCGGGCCATGCCAGTGAGCATTGGGAAAGTCGAACGGTATCAAGGCCTGGACCAGAACACCAGCACTGGAGCCGAGAGCTGGGGTTTGCACTCGCGGCTTCTTTGTTCTGTGGACAGGATCTCGAGCTTTGCCCTCTGAAGCGTAAATCGCTTTCCCCACGAATTTACTTCACGGCTCGAAAGCCTGCATTGTCTGGCTCCGTTACTTCGGTCTTTTGGCGCTGCTGCTGCTTTGCTCCGCAAGAGTCTCTCTTGTCGAGGGTGGGTTGCCCATTGGTTTCGAGGTAGACTCCGCCACGTGCAACATGTGTGTGTGTGTGTGTGTAAACGCCTGGACATGGCGACTGTAAGGCATAGCAATTTCTGCAGCTTTGGTGTGCCATTCATTGAGTCTGGCACACCGGGGCAGAAACCTACCGGATCATCGGTTTTAGTATGCCATTCCTGGTGTCTGGCATGCTTACGCACCAAACTCAATCGTCATCTCATGTCCTGCTCTTTTGTTCTTCCATCGTTCGTCCCATCTGTCGCTCGTCGCAGTGGAAAACCCGACATGGGGCCAGATCACAGTGGGCGAATGCCCAAGCCCGCGAGAGCGGATGATAACGCCAACGCTGCCAATCTGTCATCCATCGGAATGATTGCAGTAGGATGACCTTTGCCCGCAGTGGGCTTCACAGTGATCATCAGTGCTCACAACGCAGGTAGATGACTTACAAACATCAGAATGTAGTTCCGTGAATGTTCAGAGGGTTGGGATGAGGGCCAAGGCAAAGTAACACAAGGTTTCAGGTAGCCAAGGTTTACCAGTGACTGTGCAAACATGTGCAGCTGTGAGTGCAGGGCCAGTGCAAGTGCGGGAGCTGTCCGTGAACGTTGTGTGTCTGATCGTTGCCTCGTGTTTGTTGTCTCGAGAATGTTCTAAGATCTCTTCCTCTGTCGCAAGCATTTGTTCGGCGCAGGACAACTGCACGAGTGCTGTTTTTCGCCTTGGTCTTGTCCTTTTCGCTGGTTTAGGGCTTTAGGGTCCCTTTATTTTTCACACCGGGCACTGGCCTCCTGGCACCTGCCCACTACACCTGGGCACTGGCCTTTTGGCGCCGGCCCATTGTTTGCACCTATTTCGTTTCCTTGCGCGGAAACGAGCACACCGCATTGCCTTGCACCCGCCTCTTTGCATCTGAGATAGCCCTGGTTCTCCCAGGGCCTGTGCGTGTGTGTAAACGCCAGGACATGGCGACTGTAAGGCGTAGCAGTTTCCGCAGCTTTCATCTCAGTGCAGGGGGACAAAGGGAGTGCTGAGGGGCTCGGTCCAACGAGGTTTTCCTCCGCACTGCAGGCAAACGTGCCTGCTGCGTCCGCCCTGAGTCCCAGCGAGGGCAGCTGGGGGATGCACTTTACTCCTGTGTTCTGATTTGGTGTGCCATGCATTGAGTCTGGCACACCGGGGCAGAAACCTACCGGATCATCGGTTTTAGTATGCCATTCCTGGTGTCTGGCATGCTTACGCACCAAACTCAATCGTCATCTCATGTCCTGCTCTTTTGTTCTTCCATCGTTCGTCCCATCTGTCGCTCGTCGCAGTGACTGGTGCCAAGTCAAAGTTTGCGTTGTGTTGTGTCTGCCAAATATTTGCTCCTTTTGAGTGCAGCATTTTTGGTTTTGGCATTGTATGCTTTTGCCGCCCGGTTACACCGACCTTGGACACTTTGCGAAGCAAAGTGCAGTGCAAGGCGGGATCTGCAAATGGAGTCATCCATCACAGAGTTAACAAAAACCTACCCAGAAAGTAGCACGAGAGAAACCAGCAATGATTTTGGCTTGGCATATCGCTGAGCTGGGCCGCAAAGATTGCAGTCCTGGGCTCCTGGACCGCAAGCCCATCACGCAGCGACGACATCAGAAAGAGGGTGACAAAACCCAGTCGACACGGCGGCAAAAATACGCCGGAAACAGCTCACAAGCTTGCGGAGAGGTACAAAGCATGAGCGCAGAGCGCACCAAAAACATGAAGTTATTGTAAGTTACTGGAATGCAAGCCTGGGCTACAAAGCAAAACCGTGATTCAAGCAACTATAGCAAGCAAGCTGATGTTCGAAGCCCAGCAGACAGGTTGAATTTCGAACGTGCATTGGCGGGAAAATCTTTGAGAGAAGCCCTCCCTCACCGATAACTGAAAAACCCATATTCAACGAGACTCCAACCAACACGAGCCCACAACATCTGCTCAAAAGTGATCTCGCAGATGGGCCCTCGTCGCAGTTGTGTATTGCATACTCCCTGCGCTTTCCAGTTTCTCCCTCTGCAGGGGCAGCGCCCTCAGCGACCACCGCGGCGCCACCGCCTACCCGCTGCCCACCACGGCCGGCACGGTGACAGTGCCTGAGTGAGCGACGGCCTGCTTCCGATTGTAGGTCCGAACATAACTAATAAGCCGGCACAAGTCCGGTCTCCTGCTGTACAAGTACCAGCCGTTTGCATGCTAAAGCAGCGAACCGTTTCACAGCTCGTCCAATATCAAGACCTCGGCATCTTGCGCGGACAAGGTTGAAGGTGGGCTTCGCTATCCGAACGGCTCTTGCACAGATGATGGGTTTTTCAGAACCGAAGGCCCACAGGGCAATACTTTTCGAAAATCGGCAGTCGAGGGCTAACCCGGCTTGCAACCTTTCATTTGCTTGTTGCGAAGTGTTACGCGGTGAAGACAGATGTCCGCGGCCACTAGTGACGAGACGGATGACTTCTAGTGCAGCTTGACGGACTAGATGCGAGTCTTCGCTACAGTTCTGCACAAGAAGTCTTAAACATGCGCCCGATATGTTGGATGAGCGTTTTGCAGAATGGCCGTCTTGAATAGTTTGCAGCAGTGCAAGCCTTCCTCGACAATCTCACATTAAGTCGCAATGCTTGATCAGAAAGCTGCTCAAACAGAGACAGGACACATTGTCATAGGCGCTGTCGACATGCCGCCCAGATCGCTTTGAATTGCTCCGACCCAGCCTAGATTTGATGATTTTTGTGTGCAATGGTCTAAGTAATCAATGTATCAGCCTATATCAGCCTTGAATTTCTCTCTGCATGTCCACGCATCCTAGCCCTAACTCTGCTGCCGCTGCTTCTGCAGCTTCTGCTGCGCAATGACACTGACGTGTCTGTCATGCCGCTGGGCACTCAGATCCCTGGGTGCAACTCGTACGTCCGCATTCGTAGGCGAGGCGGCTTTGCTGTCAGTCCTTTTCAAGTGTGTGCAGTAGTTTTCCTTTAAAGCTGGATAGTGCAGGAATCGGCGTACTTTAGATTGCGTGCAGCGAATTCCTGTCTACAGTGCGAGTGTAATTCTGGTGCAATCTGGTGCCAATAGGCAATACGTCTCATGCTTCACGTGGACCGACTGAATGAAGTTGACACGACAAACATGGGAAAACTAGGTGCATTGGTCAGTTGAGTTGCCTTCGTTCCACCCCAGCTCCAGCCCTGAATCAACATCTCGAGACTCTGTTTGCCTTCTTGCGAATAGTATATGATATCTTATTGGGTTGGAGGATGGTTTTGTGGTTGGATGTGGTTGGGATCTAGAGGTGTGCTTTGCCGGTCAGTCGGTCGTCCGCCGACAGCGTTTTTCGATGAGTGTCCATCTGCAGGTCGTGGGTGGCAGAAGACAACTACGACATCTTTACCTTGTTGCGAGGCAGACTTGTGTGTGGAGGGGTTGGTGGCCGGCTTTCAGCCAGACGATTAAGCAGCCGATGGCTTCGCAGGTAGACATCGCCAAGCCCGAAGCCATGCTAGGACTCTTCGGTGCCCGTGGCTTCATCGATCCTCGGCTGCGCCTCATCGCGACAGCCCGCGGGCGGAGTGTCGTCACGGCTGGGAGCTTGCCCCTTGGACAGACAAGGTGCGGCTGCTTCGGAGGCTTCTTGTGTGGACTGCGACATGCTGCATATGTTTGAGGTACGTCAAGGCTACCTTGCATGCTTGGGCATACAGTGTGTCGGCAGACAGTGAGGTGGGTATCTGTTGCTCCTCTCCCCAAGCCACAGCTCAGGAAGCGACACGAGGTGCTTTTCCAGGCTGGTAACGGGCCATGGAGGTTTTGGGGAAGTGGGCTGCCGGGAAGCTTGACTCGACTTGCAGCAGGCTTTCCCAAGCCCACTGTTCTTGTTTGAATGGTCGTGGACTTCTGTCTCAACGCCTTCAATCGTGAAGCTCGGGGGCCTCGAACCAGGCATTGATGACAAGGGGCTGGGTATTCATTTATATCCTGAGGGTTTCTTACGCTCTCGGTGTTCGTGCTCCCTCCGCCATGCCGGGGCCATGGTTTCAGGCGTTATGCGAATGTTTTTTTTCAATTCTCCTGGGTTCCCTTGCTTATGCACACCTGGCTTTTCCGTATCGCGCCTAGCTTTTTCTTATGTGATCCTAGCTTTTCCTTATGCTTCCCTCCCCTTCCCTCCGCCCGCCCTCTCCCTCCCCCGCTTCGCCCTCTCCCACATCTTTTCACCCTCACCTATCCCCCTTTCTTCCCCAATAGCAAAAGAAGATCCTATCCCAGTAGCTTGCTGCACAAGAGGACCGCATAAACGGGACTTCCAACTAGCTTGACTTGTTGCCGATCAAGCTGAAGCGACCCTCGGCAGACAAACTAAGTGCCTGCTGCAGCGATGCGCCAACAACCCAAACAGCGGGGGTAGGGAACGGGAGAGGAAGGGGTGTGGGATTGTCGGGGCAGGGCGGTGAGGGGCTTTGCGTGGGGGGAGTGTGTAAGTTGTCACCAGTCAGATTTGGGTGGGTTGGGGGTGGGGTGAAGGGAGGGGCGGTGGGGAGGGGGGAGGGGGGAGCATAAGAAACAGCCAGGTTCACATCAGGAAAGGCCAGATGAGCATGCAAAAAGCCAGGTCCGCATAGGGGGAGAAACCGGCAGCAGAAGGAACAGCCCGTCGCATAAGGGGAGAAATCCACAGAATGAGAAAAACACATGTCCGCATGTAATCGACATGACCTGCAGGTGCCCCTCAAGTCTATGCTGCGACGCAAGCTTCCTTGGCGGGAGGCAAGTGGTTTGCTGTCTGGCCTCGGCCACTCGGGCGGCCTCCATAATATCGGCCAAGGCACACATGTAGCTAACCTTGGCATGTCCCCCACCTTGTCAGGCTCCGCAGCGACGACCGTTTGTGTTCAGGTGCTTTTCTGTGTTGACCATGTTGAGAGAGGATTTGCCCAGCCGTCGGGTGCCTGGTGAGTGCATGACCTCCCTTCTTAGTGCGGTGCCGGCCTCTCGCTGCCCTCCCGGTGTTGCCTTGTGTCCCCACAGCCCCAAGAACCCCATGCGAGGTTAGCTTCTTATGCTCATCTCCGGGCTGCCTGTCGCACGCATTTTACCATGACAGAGACCGTTAGCCAGAAGAGCTGATGCTAGTTGAACTCTGCAACATCCAAAGAGGCTTAGATTGAGATCTTTCCATGCTTATCTAGATGTTAGACATTGTTGGGTTCTTGCTATGCTAGGTGTCGCCCAGGATTTTGCATGCTGGTTTGCGCATTGACAGGTGCCCCTGTTCAAAGCCAGCCGCAAAGGTCTCTCAGAGGAGACTGCAACACTCCTGCAACCGACTTGTGTGGCACGGCTGACTCAACGTTTCATGACGGCTCTGCCTGGACATCCTGAAATGTGTCAGGACGACGAGATAATTCTGTTTCTGGCGGCCCTGCGGAAATTCGGGGTCTACTCGGAGTGGTTCCCCCATTCGGGAAGTGGCCAGAGTACTTTTCGCAAGACTTCTGGGAGCCTTTGTTTGGGGTTTGGGGCCTTTAGGGGGTCGCAGGTTTCTCTCTTTTGATTCGTCAATTCTCATTCCATCTGCTGTCAGAAAAGCATAGATAGGCGTTAGATATCTGAACTTCTGCGGATGCTAGTACAGTTGCTTCTGAGGAAGCCTTCGGGCAGAAACTCATCTTCAAACTCAGATCATAGATGCTTCTCTGAGCCTTGAACCGCCCTGGTAGTCTTGCAGAAGATCTTTATCCCAACTTCGCAAGTCTTAGAGCCGCGGCCACTGCTACATGTCTATCGTCAAGGAAAGCACCCGATGTGCAATTTCTGCCACACTTGCGAGCTCGTCAAACGAAGCATCCAACTGGCTGGGCCTGAAGAAGCCTGGCGCAGACCCAAACTGCAAGAGCGGGCCCCCAAAGAAGCTCATTAGTTCACGCAGAATCTGTTTTCCTACGCATGTAGGTGGTGTTAGAATAATGTGTTGGAGTCAATCAATCGCTTACCCTTTCTGCAGGTACCGCTACCTGCGAACTCTTCCTCTCGAAGAGGCCTCCACACCACTGACCTGGAAGCCGAATGAGGCGCACGCCTTGGAAGAGCACATTGAAGATTCACGGGTGGTGATGTAAAGCAATGTAAAGCACGTAAACCTGTGCGAGTGATTTCATGCGTGAGATGCACTGACTGGCACAGCGAAAGTGACTGCGGCAAGCACGCCAGATTGTCGTACTGCAGTAGTGGCCGGTTCTTGCTTCCCATTTAGATCCACGAATGAATGCACATGCCTTTGCGTACGTGTCCAACCCTGCGCTCAGACTCACAGTGTGAGCACAACCCTTTGACATTTACCTATATACATCTTTGTACGTATGTATGTATGTATGTATGTATGTATGTATGCATGCATGTATGTATGTATGTATTTATGTATGTATGTATGTATGTATGTATGTATGTATATATATATATATATGCACTGTCTGTATATACGTTTGTGCTTATGTATGCACGTGCGCACGTACGCAAGTACGTATGTATGTGCGCGTGTATGTATGCATGTATGTATGGATGGATGTATGTATGCATGTATGTATGTCTATGTGCACAATATGCAGTGTTACCCATACATACAACACATACATGTATATGTGTGTATATACATATATATATATATATATATATACATGGGTATATTCTCATACAGTCTGCATGATATTCTGCACATGTGTACGTATATATGTTATAGTTTTTCATAGGTTCATTTGAAAAGGCGGCTTACCATGCACATATATACATACACATACATACATATGTATATGCACACACACACACACCGAAGATAAGATAAGATAACATAACATAAGATAACATACATATTTACATATATATATATATATGTATACATACATATAAACATGTATATATGTATGTACATACATATGTGTATATATATATATATACACATATACATGTACATATATATAGATATACATATATATATATATATGTATTTGTATATACATACACATACATATACAGATATACATACACATACATATACAGATATACATACACATACATATACAGATATACATACACACACATATACAGATATACATACATATATATATATATACATATATATATATATGTGTTTTTTGGATAGTGATTTATCTGGTGCTGCAAGCATCCCAGCCCACTATGACCATCAGATCCACGCCCTGCGCGGGACACCTGCGCACCCGGAAGTGCGGACCCTGCGGAGGCCACCGCCTTCCAGCATTGGTACGGTTGCTATTTCTATTAAAATGAAGTTGAAAGTGTTTGAATCTGGTTTCGTGACACAGGGACTGGAGTGTGTGTGTGTGTGTGTCTGTGTGTGTGTGTGTGGGTGTCTACTGTGGGATGAGCGGCCAACGCGAACTTGAGTTCGGATTTGCTTGGTCCGAGGAGGGATGGTTCTTTGGTCGAAACATCCATTTGGTAAAACTTGGAGTAGCAGCCCTGCTGGGGGAGCTGAATTTGCTAGGTTTCAGGTTGTGGATGGTGATGTTCCAGCTGGCTTCAGTCCGTTTTGTTCCAGCTTGCTTGAGGCCACCTAAAACGAAATCAGCCAGTTATGTCTTCCTTGCAGGATATGTTTGAGCAGCGCAGTAAACGTAATCTCAGCTCGAGGGCTTGCAGACGATTTCCATCGAGGCAGCTGTCGGCCCTGTGCGAACGCTTCGCCGAGCAATTCGTCTGCCAGGGGCTCAGGCTGAGGACGCCCAGGACTTTGGGGCGCAATCGCAAGCAGGTAGCTTTCTTGTCCATAGGTCGAACATCGCAAAAGTCCATCAGCTAATTGATCGCCTTGAAGGGGCCTGGGCCACCAAAGTGTATGTCCTTTCAGAATGTGTCATGTTGGCAGGTGCATGCCAAAGACTGCACGACGTTATGCACGACGTTCGCTGACTTAGACTATGTTGGATCGCTTCAGCTCGTTTTACCCTAAACCTAGGCGAGGAGCTTCGGTGGGCTGCGAGTCACTACTGGAGCCGGGCGGTGGCCGTGGTGCGGAGCCTCAACACTGCTTGAAGCATCACCCAAATGCTTGAAACCCTGAGCCAAACTCACATTCCCGATTCTCCAGGTCGGCGCATCGCCAAAGGCTTTTCGAGCACTGATCCCCGGGGTGCCTTGGTTATGGGTTACTGTGCTGCCACTGGGACTGCGATTCACCTCTCCGTGGTATCAAGGTATCGTAGTCCCGCTGTGTTTTGCTACCTACTGGGTCTCTGTCCCTGCATCCTGGACGTCGTTGTCGCAAGCGGAGACCGTTCAGGTGGATTTGTTGAATTTCGACTCCGGAGCACAGAACTACTTCCGCATGGCTGGGCCGAGGTCTCAGCTCCGTGCAGGACGTCCAGATGTTGTCAGTCTTTATCGAACAGTAGCCAAGTTGTTGACTCATGAAGCAGAAAGGGCGATATGGCGAAACAAGCCAGGAGATATCTGGTCGGAGTGTGAGGCTTAGGCAGCCATCGCATGAACTAATTGTCAGCTTGAGCCTCTCTGTGCAAGCGGCGTAACCTCGAATCTCAATTTTTGAACTCTCACCACAAAGGCTTTCGAAGTTGAGGGTCGTCGTAGTGCAAGGGTTTGTAGTTGGTTTGTTGAAACGAAGGATCTTCATGCTGCTGCTTGGAGGGAAGAGCGAAGCTGAGTTTTATGTGGCGGGTGTTTTGTTACCGTGTGTCTCTTTGTCCCAGTCTGTGTGTTCATGTGTCTGCGCGGGTGACGTGTGGCAACTTTTCAGATTTCAGACAAACCTAGCATGCACCAGGAAGAGCATCGTCTACATTGCAGGCCTTCTGTTGGCATCTTGTTATCTGAAGTGATTTGCCATAGTACGGTCGTATAGCCTCGCGGCGAAGAATGTAATTCTCTGCCACGACGAAGTCATTGAACTTATCATCCAACACAGATCTGCTTGCTTACACACTGAGACAAGTGTGGCGCCAGACTTGAATGGACTCGTAGAGTTTAGGACTTGCAGCAGAGAAGGCTCAATACGCTAAGGCTCCGGGCAGTGCATTATCAGTCTTCAGGATAATCTGTGTTTGCTTCGGGCAGGTCCATGAAAATCAATCAATTCCAAGCTGTCGCCAGTGAGCCAGGCAAGGACTACGCAGCTGGTGAAGAGATCCTCGACAGCTATGGCGGAGGTGTGGCGGATGTGTGGCCAGCGGCGCACACGTTGAGGAAGACCGCCACCTCTGCTGCAGGCAAGAACGACACCAACCTGCTGGTTCACTATGGCTTTCTTGCAGAGGACACACGCCTGGGCAGTTGTTGGGAAATCTCGTCATGGTCTTGGCATTCTGTGTTTCGAGGGTCGAGTAACTCGCAGCCTCCCTAGCCGCCTGCCTACGGACTTCCCAACATGCCCGACCGACCGGCCATTTCGGCTCGATGGCTTCTGGCTCACGGAAGGGTCCCGAAGACACCGCGCCGCCGACTTGCGTTCTGGGCCGCCTGTCTCTTCCTGGCCGGGGAATTTTTGGACGTGGCCAGAGGTTGCGACCAGGGTCCTGAACTTTCGGTTTCTCCCAATCGCTTACCATACAGCAAGTGTTCCTCTCTGAATCTCGAATCTCGAAGGGAGGCTGAGCATAGCATCACAGAGTCATCGTGCAATCGTTGCCGAGCTTTGTGTCTGTGGCCCCTTTCACGTGGGATCCGAGTAAGCCGTACCCATCACTGTTCCGCACATCCTGTAATCACGTGGCAAAAACCTCCTTTCGCAGAGGTCGAGCGGAGGACCAGCCATGACCATCAAGTATTCCCGGGAGTCGAAGAACCCGAGCAAGGCCGCGTAGATCCCGCATGTCTCATAGGCGGTTTTTAGGTTTCTTTCAATTTTGTTTCCAATTTCAAGAATTCCTAGCTTCTACACCTTGCTGCTCTATCTCTTCTTGCATCCCCGTCAGGCATGCAAGGCGCAGGGCGTTGACCTCAGGGTGACACTTGGCCGAACACAGCTCCGCTCCACCGTGCACCGTGCTGCAGCGGTAACTGCCCAGCATCCCACTGTAGCAATATGTCGGATTGCAAGGCACTACAAGAACACCTATGAAACCGCGCAGGCAGGGGTCTTTGCCGCTGTTGAACAGGCAAACCCATGGTTCTGCGTATGGCGGGTGCCACTTCTCACTTCCCGTGCTGTCTCCAGGACCAGTCTTCGTTTGCACTCTCTCTCTCTCTATCTCTCGTTGTCGCTATCGCTTTTTCTCCCTGCCTTGACAGAAACTGACAGGCCATCAAGGGCATGACCCTTACGAACGCCAAGCAGTACTTGCTGGATGTCTGTGAGAAGAAAAGGCACTCGTCTTTGTCGATTGGAGTGCTAGCTGCCACACACTAATTAGGTCTAGAAGACGTGTTTTCGTTTCGGCTTTTAGGCGTTGGAGCTTGTACACTTTTCGCGTCATCCTGTCCCGCATTGCGTCTTGTGTGCGTGCAAGATCCATGACCATGATGAGGATGATGAGGCAGTACGGAGTAGGCCAGGCAGAAACAGTAGTCAGAGTTGGGGTGGTGGTGCTAGTAGTAGTAGTAGTAGTAGTAGTAGTAGTAGTAGCAATAGTAATAATAATCATAATAAGAATAGTCCTAGTAGTGGTAGCAGCAGCCAGCAGCAGGAGCAGTAGTAGAGTACCAGTA